TGTAAACAGATTGATATCGCTTTCATCTCTGTATGGTAAATATTAGGCTATAGCCAAGAAGCGTTTAGCTGAGTTAGCATTAAGACAAGAAACAGTGTCAAGCCGCTAGCCAGGACTATCTGAAAATAAAATAAATCTGCCTTCCAGAACCTTTTTAGGAAAGCTAAATGAAACAAATATACAATTACTTAACTTTAAAGGTCATTGCAAAGAGCTAGCTGTTTCCCTATTTTCCTTTCATTGTGCTAAGCTAACCCCTTCCTGGCTGCAGAGTGGTCGCAAAGTTCTCTAACTTTCGGCAAGAAAGCAAGAAATATATTTCTCAAAAAGTCGAACTTTTCCTTAAAATGAAGTTCTGAGGCTGTGAATAATGTTTGACTGCACTGCATGATATTTACAAATGGTACTCGTTGTTTTCTTAGGATGACATCACCTTGATGAAGGACATGAAGCTGAATCACTATCGTTTCTCCATCTCCTGGCCAAGGATTTTACCAAGCGGACTGAAAAGTAACCTTGAACCTGGCCTTTGTTATTTTAATTTATTCCCTCGTTTTCCACCATTTTTTATTGTTCATATTTTTCCACTGTTGTGGAATGCCATATTTGTTTCTATTATTTTGTATTTATTTGCTGGATATTAAAATCAGTGCTCAAATGTATTGAAGTAATGAATTATCAGAATGTTATCAAAATTCATTTTCCGGCTTCCAGCTTTGCTTTTTCTGTGCTCTTTATCGTTGTACACAAAATACTTTTGGAGGTTTGATCGATGTAATGATAATTGTCTTGCTATTTCTCATAAAATTGTTTATATATATTATTTTACTACTCTCTCAGGTGAACACATCAACGAGAAAGGAATCAAATACTATGAAGACCTGATTAACATGCTGCTGGACAATAAGATCACTCCCATTGTTATTTTGTATCACTGGGATTTACCGCAGGTGGGCCCTAAACTCACTAAACCTTTCACATTTACAGATTTGAAGCTACGCCGTAGAAGCTAACATGTCTTTGCTCCCTAGCTCTTACAGGAGAAGTATGGCGGGTGGCAGAACGTCACCATGGTGAACTACTTCAACGACTTTGCTAACTTATGCTTTGAAAGATTTGGACACAAAGTGAAATACTGGATGACGTTCAACAATCCCTGGGTATGTCTGGGTTGGAGGGAAATGGTGCATTGACTGTCTTGTGAAACATTTGTGTGTTTGACTTGGATAACGGAGAGTGTTGTCTTCTGTTCTCAGTCTATTGCTGTGGAGGGATATGAAACAGGGGAACATGCACCAGGAATGAAGCTGAAGGGAACCGGAGCTTACAAAGCTGCCCATCACATCATCAAGGTAAGACTCAAGAGATGATGCTTTGTGTTCCTTTCTCCTTGTATGCTAATCGAAATATGACTACTGTACTTTGTGATACTTTAGTCATGTTTACTGTACATAGTTCTTTGCCCGTTGTTTGGCCAGCGTTACAAATGTTTTCTTGCAACCGGTTTACACATTTACAAACTGAGAATAATTTGTTCAGGTTTTCTTATGGTGCAACCTGATTTAGTAAATCACAAGTTTGAAACTAATTAGTTGATATAGAGATCTTAGACCGACATAAAGCTCACGCTGCCTTTCTGTCTCTGAAACAGGCACATGCTAAAGTTTGGCACACGTATGACATGCAATGGCGAAGCAAACAAAAAGGTGACGGCACAATTTTGTTTTCATTTTGGTATTTATGGTCACCAAAGTCAAAGATAATTTGCCATCATGCTGGATGTGTTTGGTGTGTCCAGGCATGGTTGGTATCTCGCTAACGGCTGACTGGGGTGAACCAGTGGACATCACCAACCAGAGGGACATCGAAGCAGCGGAGAGATACATCCAGTTCTACCTGGGATGGTTCGCTACCCCCATCTTCAATGGAGACTACCCCCAGGTTATGAAAGATTACATCGGTACGTCACAGTCAACTGCAACTGTTTATAGGAGACACTACACACTAGAAAAATGAAAGCATCTGTTATTTGGCTTAAAACTCAAATGTTCGTTAGCTTGTTGGCACCTTTGTTTGTCTGTTGTCATTTTAGTTTCAGTATTAATCTCGATGAATTTCGACCTTTAGGGAGGAAGAGTGGCCAGCAGGGACTGGGAGCTTCACGGCTGCCCGTCTTCTCGCCTCAGGAGAAGAGTTACATCAAGGGAACCTGCGACTTCCTGGGCCTCGGACATTTCACTACTCGCTACATCACCCCGAAGAACTACCCATCTGGGCTGGGAGACAGCTACTTTACAGATCGTGACCTTGCTGAGCTGGTTGACCCAAAATGGCCTGATCCAGGCTCTGAGTGGCTCTATTCTGTTCCCTGGGGCTTCCGGCGCATGTTGAACTTTGTCAAGGTATGCAACAAAAATGTGAATCAAATCCAGACATACAGCTGTATAATACAGGCAGGAGTGAAGTTCAATTGCTAGATGTTAAATTGATTATTCTCAGAAATTACAACAAAAATGATTTTGTTTATCGTGTTAGTTTAGTAACAATTACATAAACATTTAAAATTAAATAATGTGTGGCACACAACAGTTAATCATGCCCCTAGCACTCCTGGCTGTTTCCCTCTGTTTTCTGTCTTTATGCTAAGCTAATCTCCTATACTAGCTCGAGCTCTACAGTTAACACACACAGTCATGAATGGTATTCATGTTCTCATGAACATTGCCTGAACATTTTTCACATTGCATCATGCCAACATATTTTGTTCAATAAAACACAAGTACAAAAGGGTCAGTATGTATTCTATTCTTATGTATAATGGTGTCTCTCTAATAGACTCAGTATGGAAACCCCATGGTATACGTGACAGAAAATGGTGTCTCGGAAAAAATGGTCTGCACCGACCTCTGTGATGACTGGAGAATGCAGTACTTTAAAGACTACATTAATGAGATGCTCAAAGGTAAAATAACAGCTCTACTAAACATTGTCTGGTCCATACATTATACTAATAATAGTGGCCACGGAAAATTAAACATGTCACCTGTTTTGTATTTTTACGTTTCCATGGTTTTACTAACAGCGGTCAAGGATGGCGTCAATGTGAAGGGCTACACAGCTTGGTCTCTCCTGGACAACTTTGAGTGGGATGAAGGATTCTCCGAGAGATTTGGACTCTACTACGTGGACTTCAGCAACAAAAATAAACCACGCTACCCCAAGGCCTCTGTCCAGTTCTATAAACGCATCATCAGCTCCAATGGATTTCCCAATCAGAGAGAGGTAAACTCAAACAACACACTAAACGTTCAAAGTCTGTCTGGAGCACAACAAGTTTAACTGTTTGTTGGATATTCACAGGTGGAGAGCTGGAAAAGGAAAGCCGTAGAGACTTGTGCTTCCAGTAACCAGCTCCTGGCTGCAGGTTAGTACAATACAACATTATAAAGTGTAGGCTGTGCTAAAGCTGGGTGGGGGAAAACAAAGAAAAATTCTGTCTCAAGCTTGTTATTCCGCTCTCTAACAGAGTTTTTCTTTGTTTCGCCCCTCCAGCTAGAAGAAAGTCCCAGGGAAATCAGGAAAAGGCTTGGCCAGTGCATGATGAAGTTTAGGTACAAAAGTTGTTTCTGAGTAAGATTACAATGTTTTTTTAAATGATGGAATGCTGTTTTATACCTCTACTCGACGCCACTTCATGTATATTTCACTTCTCTACATTTTACTGGCAAAAATGAAACTTTTAAGGCCTTGTGTTATTTCACATATAATGTAAGACTTAAGTCAAACAGCCAAATATAGGTTTTGGATTATTACCCACACATGTAAAGAAAGACATTACTTTCCTGTTATGCACCTATGATTAGAAAATTGGACTGTAAATTGGGGACATTGACTTACATTTCCATGTATGTGTTTCAGATCCCTTGATAGGCCACATGGAGATGGTATCAGAGATCGTGATTCCCACTGTGAGCACACTCTGCATCCTCCTCAGTGCAGTGTTCCTCATGTTCCTGCTGCGTGGACGCATCTAAAAGAACACACACGCACGCACGCACACACACGCATCTGAGAGTGCCTTCAAAGCTGTGAAACTTTATCCTGTCGAGAGCATTTTGTTGATTTAACTGTCCTGCTTTTCTGTTTTGATTAAAAACGTTTCTGGGTTGTCAGTATTTAGTTTAAATAGCCGGTACATGTCACAACTTTGGAAAAATTGATTCAAGCTTGGTATATTATGACTATTTTGAAAATGTTTTAATAAACTGGTCTTGTGTGGTTTTTTTATGTAGCTTAGTTGTGTAGGCTACTCAAGCTAACTGCAGAGAAGAAGTTTTACTGTCAACAAATGTTTTAAAATTAAAAAAGTGATGGAGATACAGTATTGTTGTACTCGCTGTTGATCATACAAATAAATACATGTTTAAGACATAAAATGTGCTAATTATTGCGTCAATAATAAATAAACAATTTCCTCCAAAGTGTTTTATCCTTCAAAATAAAAGCCCTGAAACTGGACTCTAATAATGATCTGAGGGAAACCAAACCAACATATTGCAAATCGCCAGGTGTATAAATCAAATAGTGATTATATTTATAGATTATGATTTAGATTATATAGAACCTTTTTTAAATTACCGAAGCACAGTCACACAAACAAAATGCACTCCAAATTACAAATGCAAAGGAATGTAACCAGTCCTGTTCTTATCTTTGCTACTTTGAAAATTATCTTTCAATTAGAAATTTGCTCTTTTCACTTATATCAAACTAATCTATATCAATTTCATTATATTTTTCTGCATGCATATAATTGTGATGAATTGATTTGTATTGGTGAAAACTGAAGCTCAAAATAAATGCTTCTTAATGTATAACTTGAAAAGGGTTTTACATGTCTCAATCGAATCAAAATAGCCCTTTGTTGGTGCTAATTTGTACGTATTATCGTATTATCTACTTGTCTGTTGGACCTTTATGTTGAAAAAGGAACATTATAGAACCGGAAGTTGATATCGCTAGCTTGTCGTCATTGCTTGTTGCTCGCTCTCAGCACAGCTCTTAACTGGTAAGACAACTTTACTATGACACCGTAATTCATAAGCTTTCACTATTTTAGTGAATTGTGGTTAAAGTTTACTTTTGATGTTTTACCATTTCACTCATGAATTAAAGCTTACATGTTAGCTAACTGACCCAAAGTATCTCATCAGCTTCTAATGAACGATAGCATAACAGCGCACTGTTTACTCTCTTTTACAACTGACGTAACACACTTTACTTATAATTAAAGTCAGGTTATGACGACGTTACGACAATAAGTGGATACCCTGTCCACTATGTTGTACATCTTCTAATGGCCTCGCTATGTGACGGGGAAACACACAGGAATGACAATGTTTTCGCTTTGTGTGTTTGGGCCATGATTGAGTTTACCGCCTTCTTCTGAACAACCAATATCCGGTTTCATGACGGATACCGGATATGAGATACGTCAAGCAGACATGGAAGATACAAACTTGCAGCACTATCATTAATTTGGACAACTTGCAAATACATTACAGAAATAATGCTATTAAATATATATGACTGGATACCACAGTGTAATAACACTTCATAACATAACGATGCATTTGTTATGTTGCAGGCAGCTAGGTCGTTGAGGTGGACCTGCTATTAAAACGTTTTTTGGGAAATATTTTTAAATGTATATAAAAGATAAGAATGCCGTTAAGCATCTTACCAGAAATACAGAAGGCTGAAAGTTAAGTGCAGAATAATGTACATATTACATACCAATTAAATAAGATGTAGAAACAGTAACACTAGTTACATTCAATTAATTGTATTAACAATTAGTGTGACATTTAAACTATGAACACAATAAGTACCAGAACATAGTTGACAGTGCAGGTATTAGGTATACAATGCTGTAACGCTGAGTGCAATTATAGGTAATGCAAATAGTAGACACTTTATACAGAATCTCATATCTGATCAGGTAAACTGCATGCCAAGGCCTGGTTGTAATGGGATGTGAAATACATACGCTTACCCTCTGAGTCAGTATATTCAGTGTGCAGGTTTATGTACTGCACAGATAATGTAGTGGATTAAAAAAAACAATGTTTAACTCTCAAATGTAGATATAAAGAAGACCCAAAAGTGTTTCATTATTGTTCGCAAGTATTCTTTTTGTTCCCTTCAATTAAGTTATGATTGAGTTTTATATGACACAGGATTTTAAACCCAAACGAATCATGTATTTTCCCATTTGAAATGATATGTTCTTAAAAAACACAATTCTATACGTTGAACTATTATGGCTTCTCGAGCTATATTTGACTGACCCAGGTTGTACCTTTCCTTCAAGAGTTGTCCACCATGGAAGACGGCCTGTTTCACTACAACACCATAGAGGATGAAGCTTTCCCTCCGCTCCCACCACCTCACTCCCCAGGAGGACAAGAGAACGGAGACCCTTTTGGAAATGGTGAGAAGCGAGAGAATATTCCAATTTAAGGCCAGTGACCTAGTGACTGGGAAAAAAATCCAGTGATAATCAAAAAGTATTTACAGTTGAAATGCCCATCAGTACACATACAAATGGTAATAGTCAAAAGTCACATTTTACTGTCAATCTTTCAGTTTGTGTGTGTGGAGGGAATTCCACACAAAACCTAAACAACCTGTTTGGCAAGAAACAAACAAATAATAGAAGTTTAAAACAAAGTTTTGTTATTTAATAAAGACAATAGTTAATCTATTTCAGCCGAAAGGACAGAGTCTTGCACCAAAAGGTTCGTACAAGATCTGACAACATACAACAGAAAATATAAATACTTGATACACTCGAGAGCAAGGGAAAGGCAAATGTACATTACAGGAAGTGTTGGCCAGACGGTTGAAACTTGCACACATGTTAATTACAAACCAATGGTCCAAGAGACAGCCTTCTGTCTGTTCTAAGGAAGTGAGAATTAGAGGCTAGATCTGAAATGAGACTTAATGATACATTTACTACAACAGTGTGTACACAGAGAGATCGAATACTGTTTCCCACAATCCCGAGGAATACAAAATACAAATATCAATATCAATACAATCAATATATACAAAATAACAGTCACTTCTAAATCTGTGAAAAATGTACATAGCAGCGTGGAAAGTGTCTGGTGCTGGATTTGAGTGTCTGAGTGTGATTGGGGTGTTAAAGTCATGGTCCAGTGGGGGCAGGGGAGAGAGAGAGGAGAGAGAGGAGAGACGGGAGAGAGAGAGGAGAGACGGGAGAGAGAGGAGAGAGGGGAGACGGGAGAGAGAGAGGAGAGACGGGAGAGAGAGAGGAGAGACGGGAGAGAGAGAGGAGAGAGGGGAGAGAGTTCAGCCTCCTGACAGCCTGGTGGACGAAGCTGTTTTTCAGTCTGGTTGTGCTCGACCTCAGGCTGCGGAACAGGAGAGGGAAGAGGCAGGTGGAGGGATGGGTGGGGTCACCCACAATGCTGAGTGCTCTGCGGGTGTTGTAAATGTCCAGGAGTGATGGGAGTGAGGCACCGAGGATCCTCTCAGCAGTGATCACGATGCGCTGCAGGGTCTTGCGGTTGGACGCTGTGCAGCTTCCGAACCACAGCCCCGGTAGAAGAATAGAAAGGCTTTATTCGAAAATACAGCTTAAAATCTACCCTGCTGAAAATGTTCTCTTGTGTAACGTTCAACAAAGGGATGTTGACCACCTGTCCGGTCCTCTGCTGTGTTTGATGCAGGGGGCGGAGACGGCGATGTGTCCGGGCTGGCGGACGTCCCTGCTGCTAAAAGGAAAGGCGTGAAGAGACCGCAACCCAAGCTGGACTCTCAGAGGTACCTCAGACATCTGAGCGTTTACATCAAGGCAGAGGATTCATTGTACTGTCAGCTGACATTAGGACGTTTAAACACCAGGATTCCTCAAACTAGGGCTGCAACACAAATACAAATTCTATCAAAATCATTATATTACCTAGTGCATTATCCAAATTGCATTAAGCGCGATAGTATGTGAAAATGTCCGTATGTAGCATTGTGATGCTACAGATAAGTCCCGGCCTACCAATCATATTCTGCAGATTTCATTAAAAAATCCTTGTTTTGTACGGATCCTCTTAAAAAAACCGCACCATGATCATTTCAATATCACTGATGGTGGGAATAATGTCTGAATAAGGATCTATCCCTCTAATATCGCAAATCATATTGCAACTGCATTATCAGTCAACATAATCAGTAGTTTGTTTTTAAATCATGCAGCCCTACCTTCTGACCGTAATTAAAGCATGCACTTTTAATGTAGGGAAATAAATGATTTTGTTTTGGTACAGGCTTTGTTATTGTATTTGAGCTACTCTTAAAGGTTTTCAAATGTTCTTTTACACTTACAGCAAATAATGACATACTAATATCATTTTAGTCAGCATTCATTACAGAAAAGGATCCTATTGGTGCTTGTGTTATTACTTTCAATGATATCTAACCTTAGAGCTTCCCTAATCAATATTTTAGTAATAGATGAAGTTACTGAGTATTTGTTTTTCTACAGGCTCCTCTCAGAAAGAGGTCTTCCAGCTCTGCGAACACTCTTTGATAACGTCCGTTTCAAAGGCAAAGGGAAGGAGGTAAGAGCTGACAAAGCTGCAGGAAACTCCGGAGTAGCTCTTATCGAATGTATTTAATAACATCACATACATTTATCCAACTTATTATAATGTTTTATCTACGTTCTGTCCCCCCAGGCTGAGGACCTGCGGCTGCTCATGCAGAAGATGGAGAACTGGGCCCACCGGTTGTACCCCAAAATGCAGTTTGAAGATTTTATCGAGAAAGTGGAGAAGCTGGGCAACAAGAAGGACGTGCAGGTGGGATGAGGATGTTGCTGCTGAATATTTGTATGAGATATACTTTTTTCGTCAGTGCAGAATGACTAAAATATTTCTTCTTCTCTGCTGCAGACATGCCTCAAACGGATCCGACTGGATATGCCAATGATATACGAAGACTTCATGGGTGGTAAGGAACATGATCTTAAACATTAAATATTTAATATACATTGTCCGGAATTACAATAATCCCGAGCTAATTGTTGGTTAAATTGACTTTTGGCGGCGTATGCACATTTTTGAGAGGGTAACATATGGTTGTCTTGGTTTTTAAGTCCATGTATTATCATCCACTCTTCTGTGAACATGTGTCTTTGTTCAGGTGAAGAAGCTCCTGAAACCGACGTCTTCAGGGAGCCAGATCCTTTTGAAGAGGCGGGCTTTAATGACCTGCAACGGCCGATCCACTCCACCCCAGCTCCTGCTGCCCCTCCTCCGATGGCCTCCCCTCCCACTATGCCCTCCCAACCCGCACTATCGTCCCCTCCTTATTCCTCCCCAGCCGCCCCCTCCCTGTCGGAGGAGCAGCGTCGACGCATGGAGCTGAACAGACAGCGGGCTTTAGAGAAGAGGCTCTCCCGCCAGCAGCAGCCAACAGGTGAGGTTCTATTTATCAGTGCAGTGAGGGACAAATCCTCTACCAATAATGACAACAAACCTCAGCCAATCACTATCCAGATGCCTTTAGAACAATCAAAAATCAACCAATGGTGATGCTTTCAAGAATATGAATTGCATTCCCAACAGGCCAGTTGGAGATTTTTTTTAATTATTTTATTTTAATATAAAACAATTTTTTTTCCTTAAAAAAAGTAACCCTTTACAATATATAGACATCTATAAAAGAGAATTTAAATAATATTAAATTTACCTTGAAAATCACGCTATTAAAAAAAGTAAGAAATACAAATATATTTCTTAATTTATTTTCTTACTAAAATAAAATATAATAAAAATTAAATTTTACACCAGATTCTGAGCTTATATTTGTATCCCCCGGATCCCGTCTTCATGTAGATTCATAGGATATATTCATAGTGTTAGTATTATCTGTAAGGCAGTTTGAAAGAAATATGTAATAATCTGAATAGAATCTATTCTAAATATGTCTAGAATCCATTGCTAAAATATATCATAACATCTGTGTAGTATCAAGAATATAATTTTACTTAAGCTTAAACAAACTTAAGTATATGTTCTTTAAAACTGACATTTACTGTTGACACAATATCTGACTTTCATAACTATTCCCCTCACCCTCCAGATCCTTCAGACTCCCAGACTGTCGACTCGACCCCGACTGCTGAACCCACGTCTGCTGAACCCACGTCTGCTGAACCCACGTCTGCTGAACCCACGTCTGCTGAACCCACGTCTGCTGAACCCACGTCTGTCCCCTCTGCTGAACCCACGTCTGTCCCCTCTGCTGAACCCACGTCTGTCCCCTCTGCTGAACCCACGTCTGTCCCCTCTGCTGAACCCACGTCTGTCCCCTCTGCTGAACCCACATCTGTCCCCTCTGCAAACACACCCAGCGATCAGGTGGAAGATAAAATGGAGGGTCACGTGGAAGATAAGGTGGAGGATAAGATTGAGGATGCGGTGGAGGATAAGATTGAGGATCAGGTGGAGGATGCGGTGGAGGATAAGATTGAAGATAAGATTGAGGATCAGGTGGAGGATTTGGACCTGAAGCCAGACACACAGGAGCCCAGCGTGCAGCCCCCACACACAGACTCAAAGCTTTCTGCCGCATCACCTCAGTGTGAGAAACAGGAAGTGTCCAGCCTCAGCCAGGACCCCCAACCCAGCACCGAGTGTGAGGGCGGAGATTAACGCTCGGGTGCAGCACACAAGTTTAGGAGGAACTAACTGTACGGCAAAGTTCTCATTTCAAGAACAAATACAACTTGTCTTCTTTGAGTCTGCAAAGAGCAAACCCTACACTTACGCATAGCACTGATCCCACATCTGCTGTGTGTTGTTGTCATTTCAGTTACTCCTGAACTGTACTACATGTAAATTGTAAATGGCCATATGACCCTAAAGGTCTGTAACATGCCCTCCTGCAGAAAAGTGTGTCTTTTTGTTTATGTAGTAATATAACGGTGCTTTTCTTTTGGACTTTTAAAAAAATTCCAATAAAGATAAATAAAGACTTTCTTTTTTCAAATTGAAACCGTGCAGTATGTGGACACCTCTGTGATTAGTTCAGTGTTGGATACAATCACATACAGTACACATGAGGGGGACATGACAAAGGGGGGGGGGGGGTTTGAATGCAGTCTGGTTTGTAATTGCAGGTTTAAGAAAGATCCTTATGTACTGAGTTTTGTAGAAAAAATACACAATCCTTCATACAATTTCCTGTTATATTCTTCTAACATATCTGAATTATTGGTTTCCTGTTAAAAAATAGTTTCTGTAAAAACACCTGAGCAAGTGTTTCACTGTTTGCACTGAAAAAATGAGAAATGAACTATTAGGTTCATTAAAGGAGATTTCTGAGTATGGTTTGTCACTAGGTCACTAGGTTTGTCACTGTATATCAGTGGTACAGTGTATCTGTTCTTCGACGCACAAAATTCTTTATTATTCCGCCAGGTTATTTTGCTGCTCTTCTTCTCCCGCATTGAACATCGCAGAAACTCCATTCAAACATCAAAACGTTCAGCTCGGTCGGGAATCGATGGCTATTACTTTTCTCATTCATAACTTTCATAATTCCAGAGATACATCCCATAATTCATCACATTTTTAACATTGAAGTCAATGGAGGAAATCTTCAGACTTCAACAAATCTTCATGCGACTTCAACTGCTAACTGTTCATTCATACTTTCACTCAGAAACCTCATTCCAACTTTAAAATGTTACACATCTTTCTGATATTATTCGTGTTACACAACTTTTAAATCTGATTCATACTTTAGAGATATTAAACATTGTTCAGACCTTGGTATAGAGGCCTTCTTCAGATTTGCGTGATGTCACAGCTAGAGTGGAGGACAGATTGAAATTAAACCTGCCATAATTCCCAAACCCTACATTCCTGAGACATAATCTTTCATGAGAAATGTAGGAAAACATCTCGTAGCTTGAAAAATAAAAATAAATTAAGCAAAAAAAATTAAACAAAATGCTTCTTGAGGGCATGAAGTGACAAAACTTTCAACATGTCTCCATTAAACCCCATTGTAAATTCAGCCTCACCTTTCCTCACCACAGCAGCACGGCACACCTTTAGTTAATCTGCCGAAAAGGCCACATTATTAACCCGAAAGTACACAAAAAGTACACTTCAGATGCTTAAGTTCCTTGACATGCTTCACGCTTTGAAATTTCACCGATATCTGTTACGGTTCTACAATAAAACGTTCAAATGTAAGAGGTTTATCTCTCATTCAGAACAATGCAAACGCTCTCCTCTCACTGATTACTGCACATCACCATGGAAACCTTTGATCTCTGGACACCTCGTTAGCTAAAATATAAACACCTGTGTCATGGAACACGATGATGTCATAACTCCAACTGACATGCTCAGAGCAGCAGAATTCAGATAATGGTTAATGGTCCTGCCCTCAACAGCTCTACATCAATTATGGGGTGTCTTCATATCCTCCTGGGACCCAGCCCATTGAAAATGTCCACTGTAGTGGCCATTTTGTTAACATGCATCTCCTTTGACTCTTTTGAGCTCAATCCCTGATGTACTGTACAGAGGACATCCTGATCTTTCCAGTGACATGTCATTGGTTAAAATTGCATGCTGGGAAGTTCCTCTTTCTTTTCATCCAAAATGGCTGGCATACCAAAAACAACATGTTATAGAAGCAGGAGGAGAAGTCAAATATTGTTGAATAATTGTAGTTTTTACCATGAAAATCATACATGTTCTTGTTTATTAACATGTGAGGAACTATAGAATTAGTTCTGAAAGCAATTAAATAATTCAAGTTTTCAAATAACAGGTCTTTTATAAATGTCCATTCTAGTGGACGTCAGGACCGTCTTCATGGACTTTATGACTCAATATTGTTGCAGGAGACGGAACTGAAGCAGACATTTTCTGTACCAGAAAGTTCAGGGAGATTCAGATGTTGAGCTCTCAGATGATGAGAGAGGTGAGGCTTTCACACCTGGGATAGAAGAGGGTCAAGAAGAAGGGGGGGAAAGATGCAGGAGGCTCCATGAGCGCACAGATATACATAGAGACAGATAGGGACGAGCTGGAAAGACATGTCCCTCTGTGGGCCAAGAGTAGCACGTATGTCTTATTGTTGTTTTTATTTTAAGTGGAGCCATGAAACATGAGAATTGCCTCAGGAATGCAAGCTTTGTTTCTATGAGTATGGTCAAATGGAGACCACATCCATACAACTAATCGAGATGACCCTACAGCCTGTGCCGACTGGAGTCCAATGAGGTACTTTCCCAGTACATTGACTGCAAAGTCTTTGAAGATCTGGAAAGATTCACCAAAAACCAAACTAGTTTTTTAGTGACCAAATAAACAGCAATGTTCAGATCAATTACTTATTTATGTTTTAAATAAAGGTGAATGTATTATTGTATTAATATCACTCTATAACCATAATACGTTACATAGTCTGTTAATTTTGGCTGTCTTTTCAAACTAATATTGTCCCGACGTCCTCTAGTGGACATACTGTAACATTTAAAAATAAAATAAAAAAAGTTTAAATTGCAAGATGTTTTTTTTAACCCTAAATAGGTAGGAAATCACAAAAAAAAGGAAATTGGAAGACACTTTTTTTCCTCGAGTCCCAGGAGGATATGCCGTTTCCTCGCCATAAAACACGATGTCGCTGTAGCTCCAATGGACACGGTCCGGTCGTCCCACAATCTTCACCTGTATATCACCTCTCCATGCCTCAACAGCTCTACATCAAATCTGACATCTCACCATATGCCGTTTCCATGGAAACGCATCCCTCGCCATAAAACACGATGTTGTCGTAACGGCTATGAAAAGGGTCAAAACAGCACTACACTTCAGATAATGGTTAACGGTCCAGCCCTCAACAGCTCTACGTAAATTATGGGGTTTCATCATATGCCGTTTCCATGGAAACGCATCCCTTGCCATAAAAGACGACGTCGCTATAACTCCTATGAACATTTTCAAAAAGTGCTCAAACTTCACGTGTGCTAACAGTCCAGCCGTGAAGACATCTACGGGACAGTTTTGAGATTTCTTCAAATGCCGTTGCCATGGCAACACAATGCTCGCCATGAAACACGGTTTTCTCATAACTTCAGTGAAAACGGCCCAAAACTTCACAGGTTTGGTAACGATGCAGCCATCAACGCATCTAAGCGTATTATGGGATGTCATCAAATGCCATTGGCATGGCGACAGATCATTCGCCATCAAGTTAGTTCAAAAGTTTGCAGTTCAAATATTCTGCTGCTTTTCCAAGCCTTTTTACTTTCTTTTCTTCTCTCATCACACATTCAAGCCCCCAGTGTTCATGTATCATTTCAATCTAAATTCTTCACTTTCTTCTTACACATTACATTTCAGCATAGCAGTTTAGCGTCAGCTTTTCAATACAAAGCATTCCCACTAGCAATTTCTTCAGGAATTGCATTCTCTAGTGTAATATACATGTTGTATATTGTAGTACAACCTTTTGAGTTTAACTTCTTATGTTAACATAACTATTATTTTTGTTTTATTTTGACTGGATATTTAACTAATGTTTATACAGTATATATATATATATATATATCTTGATTTTTGTTGTAATCCTTTTATGGCACATTGTTATGGTTATATATAAATATTTTTATATATTAATCTTTTATTTATATTTATAATGAAATGGAGCAACTGTCAAAGTACCACGATTCGATTATTTGTAATAATTATCAAATATTGGCCCATATTACATTACATGTTATTTGTTAGACGCTTTTATCCAAAGCAACTTACTGTGGACAATCCCACCAGGAGCAATTTGGGGTGAAGTGTCTGGCGCGGGGACACAACGACATGCTGACTGTAGTGGGACTCGAACTTGCTATCCCCTGATTCAAAGTCCATCATACTAGTATTCACTGAGCCACAGCCTCCATATAATTACATGGTTTATCCCACCCTCAAATATTTGTATCGGGTTGAGTGGTACCAAACCGATACAACTGTTTATGTACAGTACTAAGTTATCAATAGTTTTGAAAAGTATATATGTATGTAAATCAAACATCATTTTGGAGGAAGTATACACATTTATTCCAAGTGTCACATTTTGTTGTGCTGTCAGTGCTACATGTGATTTAAGGTCACACTGGTTTCAATTGTCCCATCAGAAAATGTCCATCATATCTTTTAACCTGCAGCTCTCCTCTATTTACAAGTCCATGTTATTTTTTATCTTTGCACCAATATAAGAAGAATGTCCACAGAAACAGAACATTTCTCATCTCATTTAATATCAAAGAACTTATTTACACACCACATTATCAAGCAATTGTCACTTAAAGGTAAAAAATAATTCAGATAATAAATAACAAAACATCTGCTGCCACGAATCAAAGAATGCTTAGTACATTTTACAATAAAATAAGCCTCTTCTGCTTGGGGCCTCTATCATCTAGATTATGTATTATGGAAATATCAGTAGTAATGAATGTTGCGCGTCTCTAGGCTGTGGTCTCACAGACCTGCGCCCCCCCCTCCAGATCGAGCAGAGCCAGCTCTCTGATCTCCTCCAGCAGGGAGTACAGGTTGGGGGTCTTGCTCTGGCTGAACTCCCTCTCCTCTTTAGAGACTTTGGGCTTCCGGGCCGCCTTCTCCTGGGCCGCCTCCTCCGCCAGGCGCTTCACCTCCTGCACCAGCTGGCTGCGGCCCTGGGAGCGGGGCTGCTGGGGCCCCGCACTGAGGAGGGGTCTGTTGCTGGTGACCTCCAGGGTTAGGGTGTCAGCGTGGCAGTTCGTGGAGCGCACAGAAATACGAACCTGTGCAGAGCAGAGGACTCACATGTTACAATATGTCAATTAATCAAAGGCTAAAAATATGTTTTAAAATACAATTTTGAATGAACACATATCCTTTTCTACAGACATAAAAAAACATATTTGTTAATAATGGCAACATGGCAAATGATGGCACATAATAAATTACAAGAGAATGACAAGGCACCCTCCTTTCTAAAGTGTACAATGTCTTTATTGTAGTTAGACTTAAGATTAAGAAGTCTTAAGACTTAATCTTAAGATCTGTATAATATGTTTTTTCAGTGTAAGCAGAACTTTTGTTAAGTGGATGTCCAATACATTTGAAGGAAATTACTATTTCAACTGACTACATTTACCATTAACAATAATTGGCAAACGGTCCCTTTACTATCAACAGTGTGCCAACAACACAATATCACAACATGACTCCACTTAAATCTTTAAAATGAGGATATCCTCATGCAGTAATAAACGCTACTCACAGAGATGTGGTCGAACAGCCTGAAGGTGGAGGTGCCACAGCTGGAGGTGGTGGAGATGTGGTCTGAGTATCGTCTCACAGAGCCGCTCTGCCACTCACAGCTGCCCTCCGGTCCCACTGCCACCACCTGGCCCTCACGGTTCCTCAGGTACACCGGGCCTTTCACCCCGTACCTGAGAGAGCACAGGGGGGGTCAGGAGTACTGGGTTAGAATATTTTATTCAAATCATACACCTCTGAATGAAAGAATTCCAAGAAACGGTCAACAATATGGCCATTTCTATCCAACCAATAAATAGATTAGGTCTTAATTCTTTGCATTATAATAAAAGAACATTACTTCCTAACTTTGTAAATACTTGGGGCAGCTCTGCCAAACAACATTCAGAATGATCAAGAATGTTTTCAAAATCTTAAATCTACTAACAGTGTGAAATTGTTGAGCCTTTTTCCAAGATGAAGCTTTATATTTGTGACCCATTTTTAAAGATGAACATCTTCATTAGAAACCAATTGGCTTGGATCTGAGAGCCACAGACAGGAAGTCAGAAAGATATGAGGGACAAACAAACATGTTGTTGGTTTAAAGTGGCCCTATTATGCTCTTTTCAGGTTCATATTTGTATGTAGTGCCTCAACTGTGACATGTCTCCATGCTCTAATGTTCAAAGAGCTCTTTATTTCTCTCATACTGCCTGTGCTGCAGCACCTCTTTTCACCCTCTGTCTGAAACCAGAGCCCAGTCTGCTCTGATTGGCTAGCTGGCCGGCTCTGTTGTGATTGGTCAACCGCTGAGAGATGTCCCATCCCTTAACCTATCATGTACAATGTGTTGGAGCGCTAGCCAATAGAAACGCAAGTGTTACATAGTGATGTCATTAAGTTAGGGAAGTAAACATAGGAGTTAAATGGAGGCATTGATGAATGCTTGTGTACACAAAAACGGCAGGCAAAACCGTTTTAAATGTGTGTTTCCTGTGTGGCAAATACAGCTGCTTTATGTCTGTATGAAGTTGTTGTGAGTGTGGAGGGAGCAGCTACAGGTTAGCTTAGCCTAATCGATCAGTGCACTACGAAGCCAGTGCTAGACAGTGAACTGTCAACGGGGGGAGCCCCGCCGGTTATCGGCTCTTAATAGTTTGATTGGTGCTCTCTAGACTCTATAAAGGCCGATCAGGAGAGCTGGATCTGATCGATATGGACATAAACGCGAGTGAAGTGTAACCGGACGCGAGAGAGAGATCAGATCAGCTGCTGAGTCTGATGGAGGCAGCTCTGCATAATCACCTGATGCTCCGCCCTCTGTTTAGCGAGCTGACCGGACAGCGCAAAATGCGTATATGAAGCGCTACGTCATGAACGCAAGAAATCATACCCTCGTGGGGGCGCGCTCATGTGATTGGCTTAGAATGAAGGAGACATCTGATTGGCTATAGATAGAAAAAATTACAAGTACGAATCGGGTGAGCGTCAGGGGAGTCTCAAACAACCCACACACGAATGCACAGCGATCCGTGCACAGAAAGCTGTTTGTGTTTGCAGGTTCAGAAGTTTTAAATGGAAAACTAATATGTGAGGATCAAAAATACATATGTAAAACTTTTTTCTGTATTTGGATTTTATTTACATGTAAATGAAACGGAACACATTTGTGTTTGCATTGAAAAACACAAGTGTGGATCTGGAAATACAAGTGTGAATCCTTCTGTGTGCATGTGTGTATTATGAGACTGTTCTGAGCCCATAAGATGTTGCTTGGTGCTCATCCTTAAAATGAAATAAACCGTAACTTTTGAGGGGGTCTTGACTTTATTTGCCAGACACACGGCACTAAACACACATGCAGAGGTGAACACAGAACACACGTGCAGAGGTGAACACAGAACACACATGCAGAGGTGAACACAGAACACACATGCAGAGGTGAACACAGAACACACGTGCAGAGGTGAACACAGAACACACATGCAGAGGTGAACAGAACACACATGCAGAGGTGAACACAAGACAACATTAGCACGACCAGTAATCCTACAAGCTGTCATCATTCCCCTCCTGACTGTTCTCCTCACTGTCTTCCTCTCTGTCAGACATGGTAGCTGATGATGTAGGCCTACTTCTTTCTCTCTGGTTGAGTCTGTGATTAGCTGCTTGCATCCACAAGTCAACAACTGGGTTTGGGTCGAAAGTCTCTGTTGTCATCTTAGAAAAGTGGATGTAATCAAATAAGTATGTGAACATAACCAATAACAAATTAATGTAACTTATTTTATTTATGTTGTTCATTCATATCTTATTTTACCTTAACATTTATTTATTTATGCATTTTTTTTTTTATCTCTCCAGTTTTAAAGGATATTTTTGGTTACTGTCCTATAGTAGCCTATACATTGGAATGATTTCAAACCTGTTTATCCCAATAATTATAAAGGAGTGCCTTGGAAATATGTGTTTACATAAATTGTGACCAAACCGTTTGAACTTAGACTAAAGTGAACTATCTAAACACTCAGTCCTTACCTCACTGAGCTGTAGTATCAGCCTCTCAGTCTGACTGGAGAGGACTCTCCCTCCACATTATTGTAGAAACATCTTCTTCTTATATCCGTTAAAGCAGGTGGTTCAGACATTATAGTGGTCGGATGCTACCGCCCGCCCGCTGCCTCAAGCGAAGCCACGAATATACTCTCCAATCTTCTCCATAACTGGACTAAATCCGAGATGGTTTTACTCGGAGACCTAAACTGGGACTGGCAAACGGATTTACAAAACTCTTTCAAGGACACTTGTGACTCTCTCTGTTTGGTGCAACTAGTTAACTCGCCAACTCGGTTAAACCAAAAAGATTTAGAGAAGTCCACTTTGATTGATGTTATTCTTACAAACGCACCTCACCGTTTCTCCGCAGTAGGCACGTTTTGTAATGATATAAGCGACCACTGCGCAATTGCTTGTGTGAGAACCTGTAAGATCCCTAAAGGAAAGCCACGTTTCATTCACAAGAGGCGATTCAAACATTTCGATGAGCAGGCGTTTCTACATGATGTTTTTAATAGTGATTTACACATTGTTTCACTTATGACCGATGTTGAGTTAGCATGGAATTATTTTAAATCCACCTTCTTGGCTATATGTGACAAGCATGCTCCTTTTAGGACATCTAGGATAAGCGGTAAAGACAACCCCTGGTTTAATGATTCTATATCCTCTCTCATTCGACAGAGAGACACTGACTGGGCTAAAGCAAAGAAATCGAATATTCCATTAGATTGGAATCTGTATAGGACATTAAGAAACAAATGCACTAAGCTGATTAAAGACTCTAAATGTGCCTACTATCTTAATGCAATACATGACAATTTGAATAACCCTGCAAAGTTTTGGAAACTTGTTAAATCCTCCTCAGGTTCTATCACTCCAAACAGCCTTCCTGATCTCTTAAGGGTAAATCAGAGTGAAATCAAGGGCAAAATGGATATTGCAGACAGCTTTAATAATTATTTTATTTCTGCTGGCTCAATCTTTGATTCTAGCAACTCAGGGATGATTGCTGCTGAAGGAGAGCCAGGTCCTCCGCCACTTGACCCTGATCAACTGTTCACCTTCGCCCCCATCTTGACCTCTCAGGTTCACAAAGCTTTAATGAGCCTAGATGTAAAGAAATCTTCAGGCCCAGACAAGATAGAGCCGTTCTTCTTCAAAGTTGCTGCAGGTCTGATTGCAGAACCCATAACGTCTATTTTGAATCTCAGTCTTTGTGCTGGTGAATTGCCTAGCTCCTGGAAGTCGGCCATGGTTCTCCCCTTGTTAAAGGGCGGAGACCCCTCTGACCTAAATAATTATCGCCCTATTTCCAGACTGTCTGTAATGGTCAAAGTCTTTGAATCTCTTGTAAACGAACAACTGAAAAAGTTTCTAACTGACCATAATATTCTTAACGAGTCTCAGTCAGGCTTCAGATCAGGCCATAGTACTACTTCAGCGGCTATGCTAGTCTCAAATGACATAATTGAAGCACTAGACAAGAAAAAACACTGTGCAGCATTGTTTGTTGATCTGTCTAAAGCTTTTGATTCTGTGGATCATGCATTGCTACTGCAGAGGCTTGGCTGCATAGGTCTTGGCAAAATGGCTTTGAGCTGGTTTAAAAACTATCTATCTGAAAGAACTCAGTGTGTCTCAGTAGAAGATTATACCTCAGCTGCTCTTACTGTAAACAAAGGTGTTCCACAAGGTTCTATTTTGGCCCCTGTCTTATTCTCCATCTTTATAAATGAACTAGGAAATGGGATAAACCCAGCACGGTTTCATTTATACGCCGATGATACATTACATTACATTACATTACATTACATTGCATTTAGCTGACGCTTTTGTCCAAAGCGACTTACAATAAGTACATTCGACCAGGAAGACACTGATACAGTTGTTTACACAGTGGCTTCCTCTTTAACCCAGGCCATAGAGCTTCTACAGGATGCTTTTAATACACTGCAACACTCCTTGCTAAGGCTAAGATTGGTCCTTAATGCAAAAAAGACCAAGTACATGACCTTCTCTCGCTCTCGAGCTAATACAGCTGTCCCTCCGATTCTGACACTGGAAGGGACATGCCTTGACAAAGTAGCATCCTACAAATATCTGGGCATATGGATTGATGAAAAGATGGCCTTTGATGTTCATATTGGGAACCTACTGAGAAAACTTAGACCTAAACTGGGCTTTTTCTTCCGTTTAAAGAAATGTTTCCCGTCTGAAGCCAGGAAGAGAATTGTGCAGAGTTCCTTTCTGTCTGTATTAGACTATGGCGATGTGATCTATATGCATGCTCCTTCCTCCCTGCTTAAAAAGCTGGATTCTGCGTACCATACTGCTATACGTTTTGTAACAGGTGCAGGCTCTCGCACCCACCACTGCACTTTGTATCAGTCCTTAGGATGGTCCTCTCTGTACCAAAGAAGACAATCACACATGTTGATTTTTATCCTTAAGTCATTGCTAGGTAAGCTGCCCTTATATATCTCCAGACTTCTGTCCTTTTATACTTGCTTTTTTAATACCAGACGAGCAGCAAATGGGATGCTTTTAAATGTTCCTTTGATGCAGTCAGAGCTTGGTAAAACTGCATTCTCCCACTATGCTCCCTTTTTATGGAATACGCTGCAAGTAAAACTTTGTCGAGAGGCACTTCCTACTGTAAATGCTTTTAAAGGTATGCTACGATTAGCCCTTCATGAAACATGTAACTGTTTTACCTGATGCTATTGCTGATGTGATTATGCTTCTTGCCACTGCACAAATGGCCTTCTGTATTTATATTTGAATTGTATGTTTTTTGTTTAATGCCCTTGTTTTATGTTGAAACTTGTTGTGTGCCGTGTTGGTCAGGACTCCCTGGAAGAAGAGATCTTGTATCTCAATGGGACATTCCTGGATAAATAAAGGATAAATAAAATAAAAATAAAAAAGGCCGAAAATTAGGATGAGCACCTACGGTCAAAATTGTTTTTTTCCCTCCCAGAGCTGCCAGCGCCTCCCAGATCTGGCACTCTAGGCGAACATCTATTACGCCAGTGCTACGGGCCGGTCCTGAGTTCTCTCTTTTCTCTTTTCTATTCTCCCTTCTCTCTCTCTCAATGTTGGTACGCAAATGCGCCTTTTTTCAAATGAAACGGTGCTCTTTTTTTGGCGGAGGTGCGCATGCGCACCTGCGCACCAGTTATGTGCAGCCCTGTATATAACACTACAGGAAAGGGCAGGCAACAACAAGCATAATAGGGCCTCTTTAAGAAAATATATATTTCTACCATCGCTTCAAAATAGCTAAATGACTACATATTACTTGGACAATTAAAAGCTTTTGTCTATAAGTAACTAGCCGACCTTTAAAAAGCCCCCCGTTATTATCTTACTCTGAGATGAACACCAGGATGCCGTTGTCTCTGATGGAGTAGATGACGGCGTCCGCCACACAGCTCTGGTCGGACTGAGGGTCTCTCTCTTTGAAGTAGAGGCACTGGAACAGCTCTGTGGATATCTTCTGGGCCTGCTGGGCTGCCTGGGGAAGGTCACACAGAGGTCAGAAGGTCACACAGAGGTCAGTCAGAAGAGCTTATTTTATAGAGTAAGAAGTGAACAACACAGCAGCACTGACCCTGTTCTTGTTGTTGATATGATGAGCCGTTTCCTCCAGTTCTTTGTTGCTGGCTAACGCTTTACCCGGGTCCACCCCCCTGTCCATAGTGATGGCAGCGGTGAGAAGGCGGTGCACCACGATGTCGGCATAACGACGGATGGGTGAGGTGAAGTGTGTGTACCGGTCCAGAGCCAGACCTATGAAGAACATTAGCATTAGCACAGATTGCTACAGTTTAAGTGGAGATACTACTGGGGAAGAGGAGAATAAATAGGCTTTCTCTTGAAACAAAAAGTGATACATTGCATACATTTTCAGCACAGAAGTCTTACCATTGGATAAAACCTTAGATAAGCGGGGGAGTGCATCTGACGAAGAGATAGGTTGTTGTGCTCTCTATCTCAGTTTCTTATCCTATATCTAACAGAACTGCTCGGGTCGTGATAGATTGAGTGGGGAAGTTCATGAGATCTTTTTAGAGGGTTATCAAGAATAACTTTTATCCAATGACCTTTTCCCTCCCAGTCTGTGTCTGTGTATTCTCATGTTCCGATTAACCCAGCCAAATATTTTTTCTTGTTTTGTATCTATATCTACGCCGGGATCCGGAGTCGAGTCTGATCTGGATTAAGTCGTGGACTTCGGGTCGTGGCTGAACCTGTCTCTGTGGTCCTGCCTTGGGTCTCGTCATGCTGCTTCCCTGATGGCTTCCACAGGATTGTAGCTGACATCCTCGTGGATTCATCTTCTTATTACAGACACATGCATTTCCTAACATTCGGTCTATATGCTGTAAAATGTATTATCTCTTTGATTTACACACGGCATCTATTGCACGTCTGTCCGTCCTGGGAGAGGGATCCCTCCTCTGTTGCTCTCCCTGAGGTTTCTCCCATTTTTTCTCCTTAAACTGTGGGTTTTCTCTGGAAGTTTTTCCTTGTACGATGTGAGGGTCTAAGGATAGAGGGTGTCGTTTTTCCATCCATCAATCTTCTCCCGCTTATCCGTGGTCGGGTCGCGGGGGTAGCAGTTCCAGCAGAGAGTCCCAAACTTACTTTTCCCTGGCGACATCAACCAGCTCTGACTGGGGGATCCCAAGGCGCTCCCAGGCCAGCGAAGAGATATAATCCCTCCACCTGGTCCTAGGTCTACCCCTTGGTCTCTTCCCAGCTGGACGTGCCTGGAACACCTCCCTAGGGAGGCGCCCAGGTGGCATCCTAACTAGGTGCCCGAACCACCTCAACTGGCTCCTTTCGACGCGAAGGAGGAGCGGCTCAACTCCGAGTCTCTCCCGGATGACCGAAACTTCTCACCTTATACCTAAGGGAGACACCAGCCACCCTGCGGAGAAAACCCATCTCGGCCGCTTGTACCCGCAATCTCGTTTTTTCGGTCATGACCCATCCTTCATGACCATAGGTGAGGGTAGGAACGAAAATGGCCCGGTAGACAGAGAGCTTTGCCTTCTGGCTCAGCTCCCTTTTAGTCACAACGGTGCGGTAAAGCGACTGCAGTACCGCTCCCGCTCCTCCGACCCATCTCACGCTCCATTGTTCCCTCACTCGAGAACAAGACCCCGAGATACTTGAACTCCTTCACTTGGGGTAAGGACTCATTCCCTACTTGGAGTGGACAGTCCATCGGTTTCCTGCTGAGAACCATGGCCTCAGATTTGGAGGTGCTGATCCTCATCCCAGCCGCTTCACACTCGATTGCGAACCGATCCAGTGAGTGCTGAAGGTCGCAGACCGATGAAGCCATTAGAACCACATCATCTGCAAAAAGCAGTGGTGCAATCCTTAGTCCACCGAACTGCAGACCCCCTCCCCCATGACTACGCCTCGAAATCCGATCCATGTATATTACAAACATGATTGGTGACAAAGCGCAGCCCTGGCGGAGGCCAACCCTCACCGGAAATGGGTCCGACTTACTGCAGAGGACCCGGACACAGCTCTCGCTTTGGGAGTACAGCGATTGGATGGCCCTGAGTAGAGACCCCCTCACCCCATACTCCCGCAGCACCTCCCACAGTAACTCGGTCATACGCCTTCTCCAAGTCTACAAAACACATGTAGACCGGATAAGCGTACTTCCAAGCCCCCTCCAGGATCCTTGCGAGAGTAAAAAGCTGATCCGTCGTTCCACGACCAGGACGGAATCCGCATTGTTCCTCCTCAATCTGAGGTTCGTCAATCGGCCTGACCCTCCTTTCGAGTACCTTAGAGTAAACTTTCCCGTGGAGGCTGAGTAGTGTGATGCCTCTGTAATTGGCACACACCCTCTGATCCCCCTTTTTAAAAAGGGGAACCACCACCCCGGTCTGCCACTGCTTCGGTACTATTTCCGACTTCCACGCAATGTTGATGAGACGTGTCAACCATGACAGTCCCTCAACACCCAGAGCCTTCAGCATTTCTGGGCGGATCTCATCCACCCCCGGGGCTTTACCACTGTGGAGTTGTTTGACGACCTCAGTGACCTCCCCCCGGGAGATTGGTGTTGATCCCCCGTCATACTCCAGCTCTGCCTCTAACATAGAGGGCGGAGATGTCGGGTTCAGGAGTTCCTCAAAGTGTTCCTTCCAACGCCCTAACACTCCATCAGTTGAGGTCAACAACGTCCCATCCTTACTGTACACAGCTTGGATGGTTCCCTGCTTCCCCCTCCTGAGGTGTCGGACAGTTTTCCAGAACAACTTTGGTGCCGCCCGAAAGTCCTTCTCCATGTCTTCTCCGAACTTCTCCCACACCCGCTGCTTTGCCTCAGCCACGGATGAGGCTGCTGCCCTTCGGGCCTGTCGGTACCTTGCAACTGCCTCGGGAGTCCCCCGGGATAACAAATCCCTGAAGGCCTCCTTCTTCAGTCGGACGGCTTCCCTGACCACCGGTGTCCACCAGGAGGTTCGAGGGTTACCGCCCCTTGAGGCACCTAGGACCTTGATACCACAGCTCCCCGCCGCGGCTTCGGCAATAGAGGCTTTGAACACCGACCACTCCCGTTCAATGTCCCCAACCTCCACAGGAATGCCCGAAAAGCTCCGCCGGAGGTGTGAGTTGAAGGCCTCCTGAACTCGGGCCTCCTCCAGACGTTCTCAGTTCACCCGAACTACACGTTTGGGCTTACCAGGTCTATCTAGAGGCTTCCCCCGCTACTCGACCCAACTCACCACCAGATGGTGATCAGTTGACAACTCCGCCCCTCTCTTTACCCGAATGTCCAAAACATACGGCCTCAGGTCCGATGATACGATAACGAAATCGATCATGGACCTTCTGCCTAGGGTGCTCTGGTACCACGTACACTTATGAGCATCCTTATGTTCGAACATGGTGTTTGTTATGGCCAATCCATGACTAGCACAGAAGTCCAGTAACAAACCACCACTTCGGTTCAGATCAGGGGGGCCGTTCCTCCCAATCACGCCCCTCCAAGTGTCTCCATCATTGCCCACATGTGCGTTGAAGTCTCCCAGCAAGATTAAAGAGTCCCCTTCAGGAGCCCCATACAGGACTCTTTCCAGGGTCTCCAAGAAGGCCGTATACTCTGAACTGCTGTTGGGTGCATAAGCACACACAACAGTCAGAGTTTTCCCCCCCATAACCCGCAGGCGTAGGGAGGCGACCCTCTCGTCCACTGGGGTAAACTCCAACAACGAAGCACCCAACCGGGGACTTGTGAGTATCTCCACACCCGCCCGGCGCCTCACACCTTGAGCAACTCCGGAGAAGAATAGAGTCTATCCCTATCCAGAAGTAAGGTTCCACAGCCGACGCTGTGCGTAGAGGCGAGCCCAACCAGATCCAACTGGTAACGCTCCACCTCCCGCACAAGCTCCGGCTCCTTCCCCCCCAGAGAGGTGACGTTCCACGTCCCCAAAGCCAGCTTCTGTCGCCCGGGTCTGGTCCGTCGAGACCCTCTGCTTTCACTGCCACCCTTCTGGCAGCGCACCCGACCCCATCGCTGTTTCCCGTAGGTGGTGGGCCCGCGGGACGGAGAAGCGGAGGTGTTGCCCACATTGCCTTTTCGGGCTGGGCCCGGCCGGGCTCCGTGGCAAGCCCGGCCACCAGACGCTCGCCGACGAGTCCTCCTTCTGGGCCTGGCTCCAGAAGGGGACCCCGGGCTTCCTCCGGGCCGGGTATCCTTACTTCTTGTTTTTTCTTTCATGAGGTCTTTTGAACCAATCTTAGTCTGGCCCCTTGCCTGAGACCAATTTGCCATGGGAGACCCTACCAGGAACACAAGGTTCCAGACAACACAGCCCCCAGGTTCATCAGGGCACACAAACCTCTCTACCACGGTAAGGTGCTGGTTCTTTAGAGAGGTGTTGTTTTTCTCATACTGATATTCTGAACAATCTGTGCTGTTGTATTTCCTGTAAAGTGTCTCTACTGTAAGGCAAGGCAAGGCAAGTTTATTTATATAGCACTTTTCAACACAAGGCAATTCAAAGTGCTTTACAAAAAATGAAAGACATTAAGAAAATTGCATTTAAAATCAGTCATTAAAAAGAAAAGCTAATAAAATAAACATTAAAAGAAAAACGACATGGATAAAAGTTACAGTGCAGTCTAAGATATGAATAGTTCAATTAAAAGCAGCGACAAAAAGAAAAGTCTTCAGCCTGGATTTAAAAGTAGTAAGAGTTGCAGCGGACCTGCAGGTTTGTAGGTTTGGTACTGTAGACTATTTTTATTATATGTACAGCACTTTGGCTCGACCAAAAATCGTTTATAAGTGTGCTATATAAATAAAACTTGATTTGATTGATTTGATAAAACCAGGTTTCAAATTCATTCTGTTCACATATTGGAGTCAAAGGTCTGTGCAGAGGGAGTATATCTTTGTAACACTATAGATCAGGAAAGAATGTCAACAGCTATAAAGAAAATGATTTAAAAATGCAATACATTGTGAATGACACTAAATAAATATGGTAACGGGATTTTAGATTTTAATTTTTTAACAAGTTCACCATGAAACTTCCTCAAATGACTAAAATACATTAAGAAAATTGTTTTCTTTTGGTCAATCAAATATGCAATTTCTGATGTTTTATATCCACTAGTATACTGATGAAAGACTGTATTTTAATTAGCCAGTGCATGCAGGTTTAAAGGTCCCTCACTTGCATTACATACCGACAAAGAAACATGTGAATGCAGTTCCAATGAATAACACAATGAATGCTGGGGATATGGTGAAGGTGTTACCGTAATGGTAGAACTGGTCTAGGGACTGAAGACCAGTGGAGAAGTACACAGCCTGGGACATGGCTGTAGTGGCCATTATTCTCAGCAGCCTGTTCACCATGGGGTCCTGGGGGTCCACGGCCTGGTCCAGAGAGTCCGCCAGAGCCTTGTTAGTACTGGAGGAACAGAACTACCAGTATTAATATGATATACAACTAATAATCAGACAACAGCTATAGAATTGTTGTGTTTAGCTTTAAATCCAAAACCTCATGCATGTGAAAGGAGTCAAAACTGCTTCCTATTATAAATCCGGTCACCTGGTATCGATGGTGAAGCCCCCGGCCGTGGCGCTCTCCACCAGCTGGCTGAAGAACTCCTGCCGGGGGGGCGGGTGGCGCCTCAGCAGGGCCTGGTGGGGGAAGGTCTCCTGGATCTTGCGCGCCACCCAGTGGTTGGCGTGTATCATGCACTCAGCCACCGTCTCGTGGACCTCCAGAGGCTGACGGGGGACCAGCGCTGTGATGTTCTTGTCCTTATCCAGCTGGGCACGCACCTGAGGAGGGAGGGGGACAGTTTGATGAAGTGAAAGGATTTGTAAATACAGACACTTTTATGTTTTATGGAAAGGTGGGAGCTGTTGGGTATGGGGAATGGAAAGGTGCTAGAAAGTAAGTTTTCTTTCTTTTTTTTAAATAACAATTTCACCATGTTTAAAACTAATTATTTTTACAAGAGCTCTGGGTGGAGATATTGAATGATAAGGTGGGCAATATATATCGTATATAAGCATATATATTTCATTTTTCTTATGTAAATCCTACAAAAGTACTCTCCAGTTTCAAAAAGGACCCAAGAAAATTAACTACATAATCAATATCCCCTATTCTTTCAATCAAAACCATGGTTTCAAGCTGTTTTAGGAAGTTTAAGAAGGAGGAACTAAGCAGCAACTTCCGGGTCTAAAAAGGGAAGCTAATGCAGACATACCTTAACCTGTTTTCTATTACATATTCAGGAGGATTTAAATCTAATATCCTCTGGTTTCATAAAGAAGTCTGATTGTATAGAAGTCTAGGAGAAAAAGAGTCTTCTTCTCACTTGATTCATTACCCCAGTAAACATGTTCCTGATGAGATGATGGTATCAATTGCTAGTTTCAACATTTCATCAATACAACATTATTGTGTAAATTATGTTCCCATTTAGAGTAAAACAGACAACCAAGCAGATTGCTTTAGTCGCTGACACATCATGTTGTCCCCGTTTGTTTTCATGGAACTTTAATACAGGGTGTTTTGAGTTCTTTAGTGATAATTGTAGCTTTTTGGTCACCTAAAAATGTCCTGTAAAGGTTGTACTTAGCTCCACACTCTCTAATGTCACTTATGGTTTCATACAAACCAAGATGGCAAAGCCAAATGATTCAAAATCAATATCTTAGTCCACAATGGGTGACGTCACAGTCTTCTTTATACAGTCTATGGTAGAAAGAAGCGGAAATGGAGCCACACTCAAATTGAGTGACCAACACAATTTAGTTTTTGTTCTTTTTATAGGATTTGTTGACAATAACTCCAGCCTTATCCTTGATGGTTTTTTACTTTGTGGTTATTAGTGTACTGTCAGTGTAAGTAATTTATCTTGATTGACAGAGTCATTATAAAAGACATTTGACCCAGCATTCTCTGTAGCCAGAAAGCAGTTTCACAACTGCACCAGGTAGGTATAGAGAAACTCTAATTCCAGGAGGTTGAATAAATAATGATTATTATGAACAACCTAAAGTATTTGCTAAAAAGAAACGGCAAGTCATTCCATGATGTCATCTATTGTAACAAAATCAATCAGTCACACATATCTAAATAAGGTATAAGACAGGTTATTAGAGAGGAACTTACAGATGAACAACAAAGAGAGTTTATATCTTGTTTTGATGAATGAAACACACTACTTGAATGTGAAAACTGTCACCAGATTCACAGTGGAGGGCTCTGTATTCACACAGCCTTTACAACAGTATTCCAACTGAAATTGCTTTTGGTCATGTGTGAGATTAACACGTCTGCTGGCCTGGATGGTAAAATAACTCCTCGGGACAATGTGTCATCAAACCATAGGCTGAACAAATGTTTGGGTGGTTTTTATATTGGATTTCAGTTTAAAGCATGTTTAACTGTTCTTGTTTTGGGTTCAGGAACCTTCTAAAGTGTGTTGTTTGCTGCAGTTTTTCTTAAGAAAATGAATGTTCTCGAGCAGGATTAAGGAAAAACACTTGGCCCAAATTCAATGAAACTTGGTGGAAAGGTGAATCGGGTCAAGGAACGACCCGTTACATTTTCAAACGTGATATTCACTTCTGGATGTTGCTTAGGGTGAAGTCGGCCCTTTACGAGTACAGGTATGTGGTATATTTGGCTTGTATCCCATTAAGGATGGACAATTTTAGAAGACAACATCAATTTATTTATTAATTTCCTAGAAACTGTCATAGTGGGCCACCTATAGAGTGCCACAGTGACGCATCCTAAAACCCGGAAGTAAGCTGCGCATGGGTTCCTTCGACAAAAAAGCAATGCAATTTCTCCATAGGATTTTGGAAAATAGCTCGTGGTTGACACACATTTAAGAGACGGATCACGTTTTGTTCAGTCGGATAATCTCCACATGTCTACATGTGGAAAATTATAAAAGTAGGGTAGACATGTGGAGATTATCCGACTGAACAAAACGTGATCCGTCTCTTAAATGTGTGTCAACCAAAGACCTTATTTCGAGCTATTTTCCTAAATCCTATGGAGAAATTGCATTGCTTTTTTGTCGAAGGAACCCATGCGCAGCTTACTTACGGGTTTTAGGACGCGTCACTGAGGCACTCTATTGGGTTGATATGAATGGATCCTGAGAGGCTAACGACTGAAAATATTAACAATTACAAATTTTCAACGAAACTTTCATTTGGAAAAAAAACTAAAAACATTTGGATACGATGACTTCAGGTGACCATTAATGGATCGGTCCTCAACATGTCCATTTTGAGTTTTCCTCAAAAGCCGTATACTTGCCATGAAACACGATCTTGCTCTAACTCCTGTGTAAATGGTCAAAAAGTGCTCAAATATCATGTGTGTGTTGCTGACAGTCCAGCCCTGAAGACATATAGTGTACGTGTCAGTTTCATCATATGTGTTGCCATGGAAACAAAATGCTCGCCATAAGACACGATTTGCTCATAACTCCAGTGAACATGCTCCAAACGGCCTAAAACTTCAAATGTTTGATAATGATGCAGACCTCAAGACACCTACGCCAACTGTGATGTGTCATCATATGCCGTTGCCGTAGCGACATATCACTTGCCATGAAACACGCTGTTGCTGTAACTCCTATGGAAATTGTCCGATCGGCCCAAAACTTCCCACTTTTGCTAACGGTCCGCTCCTCAAGACACCTATGTGACACGTCGACGTGCGGACAACAGAAAACCGGCCTGGATCCTCGAAGACCCGCTCATTGCTGCTGGCAGCTTTAATTGTTATTATTTGTTTCCCTCTAAGGCAGAGGTGCCCAGTACGTCGACCGCGGGGGCAATGCTGGTAGACCGCGGGGGCAATAATGGTAGATCGCGAGTCATTCCGTTAAAATAGACATAACTGGTTTTGATCCCTCCTCCCTTGGCCTCCCTGCCACTTAATTCAGGAGTTTACTTGATTGACAGAAAAAGCGACCTATCGCTTTCCAGTCTGTTAACCCAGAATGCAAAGCGATACAAAATCAGTCAAGTGCCGGGAAAACTCAAATTAAGTTAAAGAGACTAACAAGAGACAAACAACAAAATGAGTGCGGGACCGAGCAAGAAGCTAAAGACATACCACTTCCACCCAGAATGGGAGGAAGAATATTTGTTTGTGATGTCACATTCAAAGGTGATTTGCCTTATTTGTAAAGCAAGCGTCGCTCTGCCAAAGAAAGGTAACGTGGAGAGGCATTATCGGAGTGTTCACAAGGCATATGACAGCAACTTCCCTCCAAGTAGCGAGTTGAGAAAGGTCATGTATTATTGCTACACAAATATTATCTCGCAGTCTTAGTGTCGCCAACTCGTTTCTAACATGCAAAAAGACAAACAAATGCGTCTATGGTCGGTGTATTTTCGACCTTTCCAATCGAGACGAGATCTCTCTCTCCCGTCTGTGCGCGAGGGGGCGGGGCAGTTTACACACACGCGGCTGCTACAAGCAGCAACACGGAGGAGATGGCGGAGAGAAGCGCTCCAAGGTGTGGTTAAATGTTACCCGTCTTGAGGTGGACAATGCTCCTTGCCAAGAGTGTTTATCATGTAAGGGCGGTAACACGAGCAATTTGTCTAAACATTTAGCAAAAGTGCACCACATTCAGACGGAGGAATGCACCGGGTTCGACTGTCTTTCTTTCTAGTAGCTCTGTAGCCCCATCCACGAGTAACGTTTCCACGTCAGGTGTTATGTATGCTAGCAGCAACACACGGAGTTAACTACATTATACAAGCATGGGTTAATGATTATAGGAAACTGAGTTACTCTTTATTTTGTTAAAGTTTCAGCTATTCTGTTTACAGTCTGTCATCAGATTATTTAATACGATTTGTTAAAACATTGTTGTTTCTTTTGATGTGAAATATTATTTATTTTATTTAAATAAACCAATGTTCATTTTGTTCACAATTTGTTAAGTTAATTTAATAATATATGTATTTTTGAATCAAGTATTCATCTTTATTGTCTTCATTGTTAGTTTCCACATGCCTAAAACAACCTCAAGCTAAATCTAAAAGTTGATGGCTAAATAAGAGCGCTTGAGAAATTGTGCAAGGCATACAGTAATAGTCCGAATAGTCGATTAGTCGTTTCATTAATCGATAGATTAATCGATTATCAAATGAGTCGTTTGTTGCAGCCCGATTGTAGTTATCCCATGTATAAATAAAACGTTATTCAGCAACCCTTGCAATTTGGGATTTTATTTTTGGTTGGTAGAGCTCGGTGAGCTGGTCATTTCAAAAGTAGCTCACCAGCCCAAAAAGTGTGGGCACCCCTGCTCTAAGGTAACAAAAACATTTGGAAAACATGGCTATGATAATGTATTTTTTTTAACTTAAACTGCCTTTAAAGAAGTTAGTCTGTAGTTTGAGCAAAGTACATGTATAGATAGACCAATACAATTAATTAGAAGTAAAAAAGGACCACAAAGATAAGGAGAAACCGATCCTACCTCCACCCCTTCCAGCTCCAGCGCCCCCCCCCGGTCCCTCTGCGCCCGCAGGTGTCTGGCTACGTGTGTCAGCATCTCCAGAGCCTGGGTAAGCTGGGCTAGTTTAGAATCCTTCTCCTCAGACCCGAGCCCGGCCAGCTCCGGCACTTCCGCCTGCTCCCCGTCCAGCAGCGCCTGGGCCAGCTCGTAGTGCAGCTGGTAGGAGGAACGGATGAGCGAGCGGCCGAACCAAACCTTGTTGACCACGAGGGTCTCTGCATCCAGCTCCCACATCACGCTCATCGCATACCTGGTTATAATACATACACATAGCATGTTTTAATGTGTTCCAATTGACTTTCTTCAACATGATGTAGAGATGTGGCGTTCACTGACCTGTCCACTCCGCCAAGAAGAGAGCAGAGGTCTGCACTGAGAACACTGGGAAGCATGTCGTACCTGCGGTCGGCCAGGTAGTACGTGGTTGCCCTGAGGAGGAGGAGGAGGAGGAGGAGGAGAAGAAGGAGAAGAAGAAGAAGAAGAAGAAGAAGAAGAAGAAGAAGAAGAAGAAGAAGAAGAAGAAGAAGAAGAAGAAGAAGAAGAAGAAGAAGAAGAAGAAGAAGAAGAAGAAGAAGAAGAAGAAGAAGAAGAAGAAGAAGAAGAAGAAGAAGAAGAAGGCTTAAAACAAAGGCTTAATTGCCCTAAATAGCATAAATAAAAAGACTAAAAGCATTTGTTTCCTTCTAGGTGAGGTTAATTTGTCCCTGAACTCAAAATATATTGTGTAAGTTATGCAACACTAATGCAATGTCTTTATTTTGGTTAGAAAACATAAATGCTTTTAGTCCTTTTTACAAAATGGGGTAGCAGCACTTCAGCCAAAAATAAGTATTCAGTAAAAAACTATTGAGAACTGAACATTATAAAAAAAAAGAAACTCAGCTGCTTTTTAAGGAACTCAGAAACAGTAACCTTAGTAAAATGACATTATTTTATTTCTTGAGTCATAAACACAGAAGAGGAAACGTTTGGATTCACCACTTCTCAGGGCATGTTTCCAAGCAGTAGATACCATTTTAAAAACACATTTTCTCATATATGAACTTAAATATTTATTTTTGGTACTCTTTCACCTCCTCTGTATACATTGTATTTATATCTTTATTTTTCAACATGAGACCTCATATAGTTTATTAGTAATTATTGATAGCGTTGTGAAATAAATGAGTAAAAGTGTTCTTATTTCATTAATTCATTTACATACATACAATATTAAATAAAACTTTGAATATAATGAATCAAAACTCACTATATATCCATTGTTACACATAACTACTCCCAACAGAGCAAGCAGACTATTTGTTGTAACTGAAGCAAAAAAATCATTCTTATATCAATAAAACCATTTTTTATTTAATGTTTTGTGTCAGATTATCGATTTCTCTTGTAAGTAGTCGGGTCATTTGTGTCGCGGTCCTGCTCACCCTGTACAAATACTGTCCTTGTGTATTCAATTCAAGGGATGGAGAACCAAATAAAGACACTTTACCCCATAGCACTGATACGTACAGAAACATAGCAATTGTTTTTTTCTAAATGTTGGTCTGTTTGAACTATTAAAGGCCCTTTTCCCTTTGCTCTGAGAAACTGCTGACTCCGCAGCACCATTTCTCACTGTCAGAAACACTGTTGTGCCTCCAAGTCACTGTTGTCTGTCAGTTCTGCTTCTTTTCTTTGTTTGTGGTTGTGACACTTGCAAAATTACAGAAACTATAAAAGAGAGCGCCGGATGCAACAAACAATCATGCAGAAACTTTCTGTCCTCTTTGCACTTCTGAAAGTAGCCAGCGAAAATATCCGGGTGAGGCTCAGTGAGATAATATTTGACAAACCGTCATAATTGTTTTGTACTCCACAGAGGACGTAATTATGTTTATAACAGCAATTCTATACACGTGTGATAACAACAACAACACAGGAGCTAACAGGTGGCTGGATGTTTATAGGAGATGCTAATTCATTTTGACACAAAATCCAATAACATAAAATATACCGGGCTAACCTGAACTATCCTATCCTCTAACTCCTCACCTTGAACGTGCCTCCAGGTCGGTGAGCGAGCCCTCTGTCACAAAGTGTGTGACATCAGCAATGTGGACCCCCAGCTCCAGCAGCTTCCCGCCGGCCAGGCTGCGTACAGACAGCGTATCGTCCACGTCCTCGCAGCCCTTCGGGTCGATGCTGAACACCAGGTGACTCTCCCGGAGGTCCCGTCGCTCCGCCACCTGAGCCGGGTCCATCCTCCACGGCTTCTCTGCAGAGTTCACGGGCATCTCTTTCAGCTGAGGGCACACAGACACAGTCACAGGTAGAAAGCAGAGTTACAGCTTCACTGTGTCTGTGTGAGAGAGCGAGAAGCTTCCTGTCTGACCTGTGCGTCTGAGAATGGAGGCACGTGGATGCAGTTCTCGATGAGGATGGTCTGGATCTCTGTCTCCAGCTCCCCAGCTTTACCCAGCACCCGCACACTGTGGCCGTTGGGGTAGAGCGACGTGCTCTCCCAGGAGTCAATGCGCACCACCACTCTGTGGTCCTGGGTGGGTGAATACAGGGGAAACCAGTTCAAATAAGCCATCTTTTTCTGCCTTTTGGGACAATACAAATGGTATACCTTCCCTCATGGAGCCCTATGTTAAGCTGATTTCAAACCCTTCTTTTAGCTTCGGATCTACAGAGTCTGGCCTCCTCTAGGGACAATACAAGGCTTTAACTTAACTTTAAATAAAATACATAAATAGCCTTGCCTTTATATAAAACGCACAACTTTTACAAAACATTGGGCTGAAGGATCTCTTTACCCTTTTTTATCTCATGTTTATGCTTCAAGAAAAATCATCCTCTTTATGTTACACCTACAGTCTACACAAAGACTGAAATATATCAAATATCTAGTTTTAAAAATAAAATAATGTAAAACGATGTCATATTAGTGACATTAGTTGTCCAATCCTGTGAGTTCAAACTAAAGCTCAGACTAAATACATTGTGGACTGTGTAAAGCAGACCTGCAGAGCGTCGGCCTGCTGGGTGCTGATGCGGATCTTGGGGATGCGATGGTCCCAGGGCACCGCCAGGATGCGCTGGGTGTTCCTGGTCTGGGGCGGAGGCCCCTCCCTGGGGGGGAAAGTCACCACATAGTCCCTCCAGTTCCGCTGCAGGATCCCCATAACACGGCCTGAGGATTTAACAAGAGACTACATTACATTACATGTCACTTGTTAGACCCTTTTATCCAAAGCGTAAGAGTGACTACCTTGCCCAAAATATTCTTGTTATATGATCTTAAAAAAATACTATAAAATAAATGAGGAAACTGTTTTGTGACGGAGCGGATCACAGAGTGACTGACAGCCGGCGGCACACACACACACTAAACATTTCCTGCTCTCTTCCGTTTGTCAACAAATAAGGTTAAATCATCACTAAACGTCCCTTTTTCCCCTCCCTTCTGTAGCGCGACCATGAGTGCACGCTTGTGAGTCTACAATTATTTAAACATACATTAAACTATAGTACGCGATACTTGCGTGACGGGCAGCGAACGGAGTATCGACGCCGTCTCCCCAGCAAAGGGGAATGTGGAAAAGACGGAGGCGCATCTCTTCCATGGTTTAAATATGATGTCATGAACCATGCAATTTATTATTTCTTTTGCGTTTATTAATGATGGGGGATGATTGTGTTATGAGATAGTTAACCTGTTTATGTTTGGGTCGAATAGTTTTTCTTATGTTTGAGGGGTTAAAATTATGTTGACAATGTGTTTTTTGAATTAATTGTGTAACCTGTTGACGGTAAGCCTGTGGGGAGGGGCTATGGGTTCATAAGGGACGGTGTTGGCCCTGGACTGGCATTCGGGAGATTGTTGCAGTGAAGGCAACAGCTAGTAGGCCTATGTGTTTACTCCATAGATGAGTGATAGACAACCTAATTTTGGTAACTTTGATTTTGTTTATTTAAGTTATACTGTTTCAATATTGTCAAACAGTATATATTTTTGTTGTTGTTATAAATAACGTTTTTTGAGCTTAAATCGACCGACTAAGCCTATTTTTACAAACTGACAAATAGAACCCCAAACATATACATTTTCTCATAATTTTCTCCAAAAACACTGCAATAACCATATAAATAATAAATAATAAAAACAACAAGTACAAACATAAATGTGTTGCAGAAGAGGGAGTGAAAAGAAAAGAAATTAAAAGCATAGAAATGTGTAGGTGTAACAGTTTGAATAAAGTTAAAGTGTTATGCTCTTAAAAAGGTAATATTTATATATGGCCACATGTTCAAATACACCAAGAACTGCTTAAGTTTCCTCTAAGTTTTATTGAAATTAGATGAGGAGTTATCATGTACACTATCAGGTGAAAAGATAATACATTGAAAACTCACCTGTGGGCATGGGTTTACTTCCACTTTCCTCTCCGCTCTTCTCCTCCCCCTGACCCTCAGCCAGGGTGTTGTCCTTCCCTCTCCACTCGCTCTTTGGCAACAGCTCCACCACAACCTGGTCGCCATGCACCGCCCTGTTACGATTCTTCCCTCCACACACCAACACGCCCCAGCTCAGATCTGAGGGGGATGAGTGAGGGGAAAAGGTGAGATGCACAGAGAGCGGTGTGAGCGATAACGAGGGCAGAAAAATACATTAACCAGACTTGTTTGTGTGTTTGTTGTTGACTTGCACCTGTGTTCTTGTTGGACAAACCGTCCGTCATGATTGAAGCTTCACTGTGTGCGCGGTGCTTGCTGACATTCAGAGTCCCCTGATGAAAAGGAAAAAGATGTGAGATTTATTCAGATTTCCAGAACAGACTGTTTAAAAAGGGCCATTTGAGGCTATATTCATCTATTCAAACCTATGCTGGTGCGTCATTGAGTACTAGGACCTTCCTTGATGAGCTCAAGTGCTTTAGAACAGATAACTTGAAAGTTTCTGAAACTATCCACCTTTCTTTTATTACCTCCTTGACCCTTAAATGTATAAAACATTACCACTTCTAATGCTATTTGTGCAATTACCCAGTTAAAGCAAGTTTCCAGTCTCTTTTTAGTTTCCACAGTTACCTGTTATGCACAATTTTGCACATTTACTGGATATTTTGTGTTGAAGCATTTCAAGGTGGATTTTGTCTATTTCTTGCCCAATGTTATAACTGCTGTTCCAAGTAAACACTCACTAGACATAACCCAGCTAGGTGCTGTACCTGAATGTAGCGCCCAGACTTGATCCCGGCCTCCAGCAGCTCTCCGGGCAGATGTTCTGTGTACTCCCTCTCCGTGCCCTCACTCTCTTTCTCTTGTAGCGCCTGGGAAATGGAGCTGTAAAGGTCGTGTGCTACCTGCAGCTCCGGACAGAAGTTTCTTAAATAATCCTGACACATGAAGAAACACGGGGGAAGACATGTCAGGAACAGGTAAAACTATAACGTTATAGGTCAGGGTTTGACCTCATGTGAAGTTGTAAAACACAAGATAATTCAGATACCGGGTGACATATTGGCAATATGCAGTTTAGAAACACAGGAGCGTCCTGAAAACCCAATGTGAAAGGGTTCAAGTTACTGTCATGTGGGAGCAACCTGTCAATCACAAGGGAGCCCCTCCCCTTTTATTTTGTACATAATTCTGTAATGAAGAAGACTTGATGCTAGTAACTGAGACCATTAACTCATCAGGAAAATGTTTACTGAGGTGATAAAGTAAGTGAGGCCATTTTCTCAGACTTCTATACAATTGGACTTCTTCTTGCAGCCAGTTGAGTCGCCCTGTTGGCCACTATCAAGAATGCAGGTTGACTTCACTTTTTAGATGTGGAGGTTGACACTTGGAACAAATGTAATTAAAATAGGAACGTTTATCTATTTCTATCTATAAGCTAGGCTACGCTATACAACTAAAGTAACTCCATAATAATGCCTTTTGTTTTGCTACCAAGATGTCTTGATGAACAGGTGCTACTTAAAACAGCCTCTGCTTCTCTATCGGCTTATTAACACTATACACTTATTATCCTATAATGACTTGACAACTGTTAACAGGTAGACAGGACACATCCATTTCTGCTCTCAGTATCAGAATCAGCTGTTTACAGAATTTGTGTTGTGTTAGAACAGCCTTTCGCCCTCCACTGAGTCATGCTGTAGCCACTTCATCAACAACTTTAAAATCAGCCATGAGTTTTTTTTAAAAAATCACTATTTAAAGAGCATATTAGTTGTCAGGCAGCTCAATGGAGCGATATATAGATGGATCATATATAGGGGGGCATGTCTATGCAATCCATCTTCTCCCGCTTATCCGTGGTCGGGTCGCGGGGGTAGCAGTTCCAGCAGAGAGCCCCAAACTTTCTTTTCCCTGGCGACATCAACCAGCTCTGACTGGGGGATCCCAAGGCGCTCCCAGGCCAGCGAAGAGATATAATCCCTCCACCTGGTCCTAGGTCTACCCCTTGGTCTCTTCCCAGCTGGACAGTGCCTGGAACACCTCCCTAGGGAGGCGCCCAGGTGGCATCCTAACTAGGTGCCCGAACCACCTCAACTGGCTCCTTTCGACACGAAGGAGGAGCGGCTCAACTCCGACTCCCTCCCTGATGACTGAACTTCTCACCTTATCCCTAAGGGAGACACCAGCCACCCTGCGGAGAAAACCCATCTCGGCCGCTTGTATCCACGATCTCGTTCTTTCGGTCATGACCCATCCTTCATGGCCATAGGTGAGGGTAGGAACGAAAATGGCCCGGTAAGACAGAGAGCTTTGCCTTCTGGCTCAGCTCCCTTTTCGTCACAACAGTGCGGTAAAGCGACTGCAGTAGCCGCTCCCGCTGCTCCGATTCTCCGGCCCATCTCACGCTCCATTGTTCCCTCACTCGAGAACAAGACCCCGAGATACTTTAACTCCTTCACTTGGGGTAAGGACTCATTCCCTACTTGGAGTGGACAGTCCATCGGTTTCCTGCTGAGAACCATGGCCTCAGATTTGGAGGTGCTGATCCTCATCCCAGCCGCTTCACACTTGGTTGCGAACCGATTCAGTGAGTGCTGAAGGTCGCAGACCGATGAAGCCATTAGAACCACATCATCTGCAAAAAGCAATGGTGCAATCCTTAGTCCACCGAACTGCAGACCCCCTCCCCCACGACTACGCCTCGAAATCCGATCCATGTATATTACAAACAGGATTGGTGACAAATCGCAGCCCTGGCGGAGGCCAACCCTCACCGGAAATGGGTCCGACTTACTGCCGAGGACCCGGACACAGCTCTCGCTTTGGGAGTACAGAGATTAGATGGCCCTGAGTAGAGACCCCCTCACCCCATACTCCCGCAGCACCTCCTGGATGGATGGATGGATGTCTATGCAAGACAATTAGACCACATTTACACGGGAACGCAAACGCATGCGAAACGCAAACGAACCGAATACGATATCAAAAAAGTCTTCCTACACACGAGACTGCTCGAAAGCGCTGGAGACGCTGTAGTACATATGCTGGGCCTGTAAGTGGCGCTGTACTTCCGCCACAAAATACACCAAAAGCTGCGAAGAAGACCCCCGAGCATGGTTGCCATTGTTGCCTTTCTGTTTATGCCCCGCGGTAGATTAAGCAACATGTAGTTCATGTAGTTCTCCATGTCCACTTGTTGCTGATGGTTGTGGTAGAGGAGCTGTAGATTTTGCACTAACATCTGTAGCAGCAGAGATGGGGAGAGGCGGGTCTATGGCTTCATCGTTATCAGGAAATGATTGTATAGGACGTACACACGGAGCCGTTTGGCCCCCCAGAGCGTTCTGTTTGCAGATCTATCCACCTTGGGACCCGTTATCGTTTGCCGGTCCGTTTCCGCGTTTCCGTTACGGCCTTGTGTGAACGAACGGGCTATACGAAAGAGAAAAGTAGTGGATACAACCGTTTGCGTTCTCGTGTAAACAGCACCTTAGACAGTAATTCATAATTTTAGCCTTCTAAGCAATCCATGATGTGCTGATGGGTAAATACTTAAGACCTAAGGGAGTTATACAATAGATTATCTATGTTAGACAATCCTTTGTTTTTGCTTGGTAAATATACATGTCTGTTGACTCATTGACTTTTTTTTTGTGGGCTGGGCGTCCATTACATTATTTAATCAGTTTGTCAACTTTTATAGGAATTGTATTGTGATGGTGGTATGACCAAATAATATTATGATTGAACATTAAAGAGAAAACTATTTCACCACAACGTCCATTTAGTTGCTGCCCTGGAGCATTAGGTCACATTAAATGATCTTTATCAGCAATTTCAGTTTTTCTAGAACAAATGTATACATTTCAAACAGAACACAATGTCTCTACACACAAGATTTCTACAATCCTCTGATAACTTGGCTCCATCTGCTGTGGAAAGTCATTTGATATGACACAAAGTTTTTGTTTACTCATATCGATTTCCAAAACCGTTAAAAAAAAACACATGTCTATTGGCGTTCCTGTGTTTATTATTGAGTGATTGGATGACTGGGTCAACACACAGCATGCAGCAGAGAGAGGTCTGTACTTTAACAGCCATGCATTTCCTATTGTTTCGGCTCTGCACTGAAACATAATGGTTTGAGAAACAAGTGAACAGAGCAGGATTCCATGCCTCTTGTGAACAATGCAGCAGGACAGCACTACAACTCCTACAGAAGTCCCAGCACAGAAGCAGTCACTGTACTGCTGTGGACGGGTCAGCAGCTAAATGTATTGTATCTAAAATGACAACAAAATGAAGGCATTATCTATTCTCTTACCCAAGCTACCAGACTCCATTGAAAAGAAAACAGTAATTTTACATTGCCTTGATCAATTAGTATGTTTTTGTGTCTCTGGCGAGAGCATGTATAACTGTTTCAGTTCTCTGTTGGAAAGGACTATCTAACTCTAAAATCTTCTAAATAAAGCTAAGTCTGCATATTAACTGACATTGACTCCCTGCTCCTCCATACTGGGGCGTGCCGCCTTATTCAGAACTTTAAAAGGTCCCCATTATACTCTTTTTCAACATATTACAGGACAGGATTCAAATATATAAGAAACATGACTCTGAAGTGTTTGGCTCGAAAAACCAAACAGATCATGCATTTTAGCCATTAAGCCCTCTGTTTCAAAAGTGCTGATTCTGTGTCTGTAGCTTTAAATGCTAATTACATTCTGATGGCCACACTCCTCTGCGAGATGATTGGTTTAAAAAAAAAAAACACACACTGGTGCTCTAGGAGGAGATTCAGGGGATAAGGTGGGCGGCGGTTACCTTGTTGGTTATTGGCTAATGGTTACACAAGCCAAAAAAACATTGTGTAAAAGATCTGATCAGCTCATTTGCTGACAGGTTTTTATATAGATCAGTGTTTCACAAACTTTTTCATACCAAGGACCACTTAACCAATAAAAAAACACTCGCGGACCACCTAACTCCACAAATATCCAAAAACACATAGTTTTTTACAAATCGCCTGAAAATGGTACAAACAAGTGGCAACATGTGTGATGAAGGTGTTTATCTGGGCTATATCATGCAATCGAAAGTGAAACTTAAGCTCGCTCCATTGCGGAGATATTCCCGCGAGAGTGCGAAACACTTTAATTATTTATTTATTTAAAATGTGAAATTTTACCAATATACTCACGGACCACTAGGGGGCGCTCACGGACCACCAGTGGTCTGCGGACCACACTTTGAGAAGCACTGATTATAGATGGATCAGGACAAAAAGAGAGAGAATCTCTTTACACAGGGGGGACGCATATTTCCGATAAAAGGATTTTGCATAATAGGTAACCTTTAAGTATTACATTTATTATTGTATTTCTGTTTGCCATGTATACAAATGTTATGTTCATAAATGTTGTATGTGACGGGACTACGGATGGAAATGAGCTCAAAGCTAAAATCCGGCTCATTTACATTTGAAAGCATTGTTTAAAATGTTCATTAATGTGAATTGTCCCGGTTCAAATAAACGATTAAATGAAAATGAAATGATTATGAATAAATACATTATGCAAAGGCATTTGAAAGATCCCGAAATATCCCTTTTAACATCCTCAAATACAAACTTCTGCGTTTCAACCTCGTAGCAGTGTCCTTTGATATCCACTATGTTCAAGCCACAACAACAACAACATGTCTCTCTGTCTAATAAATACTTATGGACAGTTAGTGTAGAGACAGATATAAGCATCATGTGGGGTGAACATTAGTGTGCAGTTCAAGTACCTGGACAGAGATGACGTAAACCCCAGAGTTGAGGCTGCTGTACTGAGCCACGGCTTCCTGATCCTCAGTGATCATCACTACATCCATCATACCTGCCAGGTGGTTGTAGTACCAAACTGCTGCAGAGTACACACACCTACACACACAAACACACACAGAGTTCATTCACAAACACAGGATGCATGCAGACAGCTTGCCTAAAAAGAGTAAAGTACTAAACTCTGATATTATGTATTTAGTTCCTCTGGCTTATAAATGTTCACTACCTGTAACTGAAAACATCATGAGGAATGCAGACATCCTTTACAGTTTACTGTCTTGTTTATGTAATAATCTATTTTCATGACAACAGTTTGCACCGCCAGACTTCTGTCTTTTAAAGTAAAATACAAAGTTTGGTGATAACATGTACAACACCAGTGGAAGACACTATCGTGAAACAAAGCATAATGACTAAAGAAAATTAATTCATGGTGGTAAGCAGCACTTCTAAGAGGCTTTTGCTTAAACAGAGAGCTTTGTTATTGCAGCCGATACCACAGAAGTGCTTAAAATACATAATTGATTATAAGATCTAAAAATGTATAGTAATTGTTGTTAAAATAGCTAACATGTCCTTGAAATATCTCCGTTCACATCCCTTCTCTCAGTTCATTTATTTGGGATTTTGGCAACTGGTCAGACTTTTTGCATAAAAATAAATCAAAGCATCAGCTTGACCTAATTTGATCAACTAATATCTCTTTGTATGAGTCCATGATTAATACAACTGGAAAGTTTTGTCTATAATTGCCACTGAAGTACAGATTTTTGATAACTAACTTTAAACTAAATAACTGTATACCATGTACTTTACACAGACAATTGTGTTTTATATTGCAAGTTTCTGAAGATTTATCCTAAAATATTAATAGAAGCATCATCTAATGCTAGCTTTTGGTGAATTTAGGAGGAATCTAGAAACACAAATAGACACATTTGGTCAAATGGGCGGAGTGGCACAGTGGGCTGTGCGTGTGATCATCAGATTAAGGGGGCGTTGGGGAACTCCAGTTCGAAACCCGCTCCCGCCACCACTGCATCAGGCCGTTGTGTCCTTGGGCAAGACACTTGACCCGAATTTGCTCCTGTGGGTATTGTTCACAGTACATGACCATTACATGTATGTATGATATGTATGTGTAATGTCATGTGTATCTGTAAAGCGCTTTGAGTCATTGAAAAACGCTATAATAAATATAAGGAATTATTATTATTATTAAATAAACACCTAAGAGCTTTTTTTGAACATGGTATGCAAGCAAAATAGCTCAAACTGAAAACAAAACTCAACAGTGCATGAAAAAGGTTTGTGCCTGTAACATCTCACTTTAAAGTTGTAAACACATTTAGCTGAGGTCTCATATGAAGTCTCAAGTGCTCAAATTCTATGTTAGAATACCTGTTTACTACCTGCAGAGGAGGAAAACATCTCTATAAATAGTGAAATTTCCCCCTAAGCCTTTAGCCCCTACAATGATAAGTAACTTGATTGACAGCTTGGCTGGTAGGTGGGCCCTGAGTGCCGTATGGCCCATTATAACTAGCCCTTAACACAAGTTGAACTACAGTAGAAGTGAATTCAGGGTTTATATATAATTACTAAAGTGGATTTTTTAAACTTTCATTTCCAATCTGGCAAAGCACCCAGAGGAACATATACATGACAACAATTTTATAATGGCAAATGCCCACAGTTTTCCCGTTTTAAGTAAAGCAATGTAGTTCAACGATTTGCGTAAGATGCTTTGTAGCTTTTCCCAGAGTTAGTACTCAAGAGAAGAAAACACTTTAAGAATTTCTGCAAATGTTTGTATGAATTAAAGAAAACAAGATACAAATTGTTTTATTGAGTGTGGCTTGGAGAACTTTCTATGTGTCTGCCAGCACAAGAAAGGCTCTTGAGGCCTAGTACCAGATTTTATATATAAAGAATACATGAAAAATCTCTACAAAAGACAAATACACTACAAAAACAGAAACTTATTGACATAGGTAATATACGTCAAAATGGATTCAAATGCATTCCGTATTGTATGAACATGTTTTAATTGGGGGGTGGACGTCACATCCTCTAGGGGGGTCCGGGGGTATGCCCCCCCGGGAGGATTTGTTTGAACATTTTAAAGTAAAATGCTTCAATCTGGTGCACTTTGAGCACACAATTACTAGATACCTGATCTAGGGGGTACAACTCTAAAACACCCATATGAAAAAGATCGGTTTACATTTTAATAATCAAATAAGTATGTGAACATAACCAATAACCTACCATAGCCAATAACAAATAAATGTAATTATTTTATTTTTGTTGTTCATTTATATCTCATTGGAATGATTTCAAACCTGTTTTTATTTATCCTAATAATTATAAAGAAGTGCCTTGGAAATATGTGTTTACATAATTTGTAAACACATATTTGTTTGAGACCCACTGAGATAACTTAGACTAAAATTAACTATCTAAAACACTCCACCCTGGTGGTAGAACCATCTACTTCTTATATCCGTTAGCGCAGCTAGTACCAGATTCAAATAACAACAGCGCCGGTACCGGTGCACCTTATCTCTCTCTCTCTCTCCCTCGCTCGCTCGCTCGCTCTCTCGCTCACTCTCTCGCTCCAACGCTCGCACTTTGGCTGTGAGCTGCGGGCGCCTGATAAGCCAACATCCCCCACTTTCATCACTTACAGCGCCCTGGCAGTACATACAGTGGCAATGTCTCAAGATTTAGCAAAAATACACCTTTATTGAACATACAGTAACACAAATACTACAAATCCACATAAGCAATCAAAAACGAAAAAGCCACTTATTATTATTTTAATTTAAAAAAAACCTGGCTGGCGCTCCCTAGCAGCGCTGCGCCGCCGCTATTTGTATATAGGGGAAACACTGTACCCGAGAGATGTCCCACCCCTTAGCCTATCACGTACAATGTGTTGGAGAGCGAGGCAGTAGTAGCGATTTGCAGATAATTTACATGCACAAAAAAACACACTACAGGAAAGGGAAAACCCTTATGGGACATAAAAAGAGTCACAAAGAAAAAATGTCATGTCCTTCCTGATGCCAATTCTAATACCTAAAGCATTTTGGCTGATGTTTGGTTTGTGCGAATATGACAGAGGTTGTGGTGGTGACTGACCTGGTCTGCCACTTCTCCTGGCTCTCCCCCTTCTCTCGTGGACAGTATGAATACTCCTGAAATTCATTGGCAAACGGCACGCAGTCGTGTCGAGGGTCTTTGAGCAGGTTCCGCAGACGCTTGTATTGCCTGAACAGAAACACACGACAATGGAAAAAAACCCTCGGACGGTCCAAATCATAAAGATAACCACAAGAATGAATACAGTAAACTTAGGGAACGTTAAACATCTGGGAAGTACACTGATTCACTTTCTTTTAAATAGTTATTCGAGAGGATTGTCCGTTAAATAAGAAGGTCACAATCTTTTTTAAATACATTTTAACAAAATGCAATAAAAATGCAATCATCCTATCCCAGAGTTAAGCCTGACCCTTAAACTAGTGAGCATGCTGGCAGGTGGGTTTTGTTACCTTTGCACTGAGCCAAGTGATAAGGAGAACCAGCTGATGTTTCTTTAATATCGCACACACACACTGATACGTTATGAGCTATTTGAATTTCATGACTGATGTTTTGCCATTGCCTCGACCTGAGAATGAGTGTTCAAACTTCTCCACACACACACACACACACACACACACACACACACACACACACACACACACACACACACACACACACACACACACACACACACACACACACACACACACACACACACACACACACACACACACACACACACACACACACACACACACACACACACACACACACACACACACACACACACACACACACACACACACACACACACACACACACACACACACACACACACACACACACACACACACACACACACACACACACACACACACACACACACACACACACACACACACACACACACACACACACACACACACACACACACACACACACACACACACACACACACACACACACACACACACACACACACACACACACACACACACACACACACACACACACACACACACACACACACACACACACACACCATCAGAATATGTTCTACCAGCTACCTAACATTATCCAAAGTGAAGCCTCCTCACATGAATGACGCAACATGGTAAAATGGCGGCGTAAGCACTAATCGTGTTTGTGTGGGAGACGTATTTCAATTCACGGGACATTTAGCTTGGTCAGCACTCAGCTTTGATATAATGAGCATCAACGCGACACACTCTTTACACACCTGTGCAGGTAGGTTGTCATTAGAGGTTTAATTCAAAAGCAGGTCCAAAGGTCTGGACTGCATGAGCTGTCCTGATTTGCTGGTAGAATATTAATTCTGAGATACTGACCGTCAGAACGCTTGTTTTGATATATTGTAATACTAAACTCAAACCATATATTCAATGTGTAATCGAAATTAATTTTTGGAGCAATGACTGTAAAACAAGGAAGCTTGAGTCCGATCTGATATTTAAATCTAGGACTTTTGAACAACTCTCCTCTGGTCTACATACTTAACTGATTCTTTCCAAGTCATAAACAAATCTGCCTGTAGTCAAAACATATGTACACACTAAGACAGAGGCGGCACCTAAAGATAAAGACCAAGGTCAAAGCTGTTACTCTCTGCCTGGTGTGACCTGGCAGAGACATGAAAAGGACATTCTAATAGAACATTTGCAAAACAATAACTCTACAGAATGACATATTGTGCATGTGAGTGTACCTGCGTCCTTTGCTGTGCTGCACCCCCTGGCAGGAGGTCTGAGTGAAGATGATGCCCTGCAGCTCTCTGAACTCCAGGATCTCCAGATAGTCCCCTGACACCCCCGCATCAGGAATCACATAGTGGGTCAGGTCTCCTGGCAGCACCTTGCCATCTGGTTGGGGGGTAAGCAGAGATGATAATAGCATAAATAACTTTTATTTTATTATAGGAATCTTTGTTCTTGTCTTGAGTTACCAATAATTAGTATCACATTGAGAAAAATTCCCTAGTATACTGTACTTCAATATTATTACACCTTAGTATGTCATATCCCATACTATATCGTAATGCATGATCATATTTACTCGGCGTATATTATGTTAATATGTTTCATGAACTATTGCACTTTATTCTATTAGAGTGCAGACAAACACAGTGACATTTATGATTTATAACTGTACAATGTTTACATAGACCTGTTGACCCTGCAATCAATCACACCACATTTGTCTTCAAATGCTTTTGTATAGATTCTAGTTTTATTGTATACTTATTTGATGTACCTCATATTATTTATTTGTTACTTTCTATCTATCTCTGTACTGCTGCACCAACCGATTTCCCCCGCTGGGGTTGAAATGCTGTTGTGTTTTGTGAAATGCTGTGGTGTTTTCTGAAATGCTGTAGTGTCTTGCACTTCAGGGCCACCGTAGAATACAGATGTATAATATGAATCTTTGGACTAGTCGAATCAAAGCCACACTTCGATCTAGTGTCTCACTCACAGCTGTATTTGAGCTACAGATCGGTAGCTCATAGTGAAACTAAATTAAAGGCTGTGCTGTGTCTTTGTTTTGAGCAGACCTACCGTTCTCACAGCCCGCCTGACACAGGGAGCTGTAGCAGGGGACCCTCTCTCTCAGATAATGTTCCCGGACCACACGGACCTTCCTCCCGCGGCAGCTCTTCAGATGCAGGATCCTCTCCGTCTTAATCATCCTCAGATTTCAGGCAACAGCCATGTGAAGCCTGCTGCTCTCCTTAATCAGCTGTTTTGATCCCAACGCGGGAAGATTCACTTGTAAACACTCCGAACTTCAGGGAAGTGCGTAAGGCACGCCTGCTGACGTCATGACGCAAAGCGGGTTCTTCTCTTGCTGCGTTCAGGTGGTGTTTGACGTGAAGGAGTTATGAACGCCCTTGTATGAAATTATCATAATAATAATAATGGACAAAAACAGTTGAGCTACATCAATTATTATTTACTTTTATTTTATATTAAAACTATCTGAAAACCTTGCTTTACTTAATTGAAAATTCTTGTTTTTTTTAATAGCTTCCATGTCATGTGACACAGTTAGAGTAACATGCAGCACCATGAATGTGTACATTAATTATAGGTTGCATTTATACTACACCATTCATGAAGTGTTTTTGGTAGCAATACACTGATTAATATGGAAGTTATTTTACATTTTCAACAACAAAAAATCGCAAAATGATGTTAAAGGAATATTTATTTTACAAACTACTGAACTGTGCTGCCCCTGGTGGTCGGGACATGTATCACTGCCCGCTGAGCAGGTGCTATTTTAGTTTCCAGTCACTTTCAGCGTGTAACATCAGATATGACCATCAAACCCCAGAAATACGGTGCTTTTTTTTTAACACTGTGAACACACCTGCAAATAGGCTACAAGCTAAAAATGCTATCTCTCTTGAAGACAACAAGGACGGAGAAAGGATATACTTGAAAAAACATAGCAAATAAACCACACTGACAGTTTACCACTCAAGAGGAGTCAGTTAGCAAACAAACAAGGGATAAAACCCCAGTATATATTGGACTTCAGTTCAACAGGTGGCCGAAAAGAGATGACAGCCATGCTGCTCTGCTTGATATGTAAGTAATTGTATGCTAGCCATGACACTGAGCTAAATGCAATAGTGGAGAAAGTACTCAGCTATTTTTTACTTTGGGTTAAGTAGTAGTGTAAGAATACTTTGTTACAACTCTTGCATTCATGTGTAAAATACGTTAATTCCATAATTGACTAGCTTAAAATACTTATTCATTGTATTTGTCTAGTGTTAGTCTTCTCTCTAAAGTTATTGGTTTAAACAATTATATAAATACGTATGAAGCATGACATATGTTTTGTTTAATTTCGTTTATGATACTTAGAGAAACAACAATTTTTATTTAGCAATAGCCAAAATCCGCAAGGCCTCAGGGATATTGTTGTTGAGAAGCGAAGCAGCGGTGGGGCGGGGTGAGTCCTCTCGCTGCTCCGCTGCTCTCCGGCCGGTGTTCCGGATTAACTGGTTCCCCGATCAACTGGTTTACAGATGTGGAGGCGTGGCCTTCGACTGAAATACACATTTCGATCGCTTCTTCTGTCGTTTACATACATATTTTGGTATATTAGGCTCGGTAGGAACACTTTGATGCACATTCAGTACCAGTGTGTGAGGTTGTGGTTACGATGGAGATATCCGGACGCGAACAGCGAGTACTACAAAAATAAAAACGAGTTGACATGGGGATGTCTGTTCAAAACGTTGCAAGCTCCAATAAATCATTTAAACCAGCTATTGTTGCCAGACTTATTACTGAATATCGTTCTTAATGTGATACCAAGTCCATCTGAGACCTGTGTACACCTTCAGACAGCCTCCAAGTGAAGCACACGTTGTTTACTCACAGTTTGAAAGCAGCGTGGAGAAGTCTTCAGCTGTGTTAAACTGTTCCTCTCAGGTAAACATCCGCCCAGGGAAAAATGGGACCCGCCCAGATTAAACTGTGTTACGACTTCTGTGGCTATCTACCAGCGATCATGTTTAATATGAAAGACTACACACACATTTATCCCTTATAAAAACAGTATTCTGCAGCACTCATCCAGATAAGATGTGACTGTTAACTCGTTTTGCAAAGATAGCAGCAGAAATATCATTGCAGACATCCCCAGTCAACTCGTTTTTCTTTTTGTAGTCCCCGCTGTTCGCGTCCGGATATCTCCATCGTAACCACAACCTCACACACTGGTACTGAATGTGCATCAAAGTCTTCCTACCGAGCCAAATATGCCAAAAGATTTATGTAAACGACAGAAGAAGCGATCGAAATGTGTATTTCAGTCGAAGGCCACGCCCCCCACCTCTGTAAACCAGTTGATCCGGGAACCAGTTAATCCGGAACACCGACGGTGGAGAGAGGCTGCAGCAGAGCAGCAGAGAGGAGGCATTGAGCTCAAGTTGGCACGCGCTGCACACCGATACGGATGCTGAGGACTACTTAACTGAGGTTTCTACATAGACTTCTTATAGAACATTATTTTTATGATTTAGCTTTTTCACGCCATCTCTCAGAACACGCATTTAATAGCGTATTCATTTTCCATATAGTCCGCCAGAATGAACTTTATTTCGGACGCATCCTTCCTGCAGGTAAGGCTGTCATTGTTATTCATGTTTTTAATTACTTATTTTACACACCCATGATCATGTAAAGTTGAATGATAATAACCTGACACAGAGAAAGTGTATGGTTTCGTCTTAGTGAGTTTATAGACACATCATCGTTTTTATTTAGAACAAAATCGACAATCCTGTATCCCTCAATGCGTATTGCTCTGTTGTAGAAAATACTGCTGAACTTGTAATTGCAATACTCTGCACCAGGATACATCATTGTAGTGTAATATTATATTTTTACATTAAATAACCTACAAATGTTCAGTATCCCGTTGCTTATTTGCTAAATGTGGTACTACTACTCAAGAAATGTAAACATTATTGCAATTTTTACTAAGAAATACCGTACATTAATTTTGCATATTCTTTTAAAGTTTATTTAGCCTAATGTCCAATTTTTTTTTATGATCACAGTGTCTGAGGCATCAGTATGTGACTGTCTTTTCTTAAAAAGTTAAGTTTATTTATGAAATAGGATGCTTTTGTGTCTTTCTTGGGTTTTAATTGTCCTCCTGTCCCAGACCTCAGCTTGGTTTTATTCTAGTGATCTAATCGGGACATACTTTAAATGCAATTATCTTGAATCAAGTAGCTGCTGGGACAGAATAATTTAACTACCTGAACTAAAAACCTGCAGTTATCCACTCTGTGATTCGGACTGAAAGCCGATGCTGTGCATTGACACCGTTTTTTTTTTTACAGTTAGATGTCTGTGTTGTAGGTCTAGACTTTTGTCTGAGGTTTTGATGTTAATTAGATGGGTCCGGATGATCATTGCTGTTGTAGTATTTCTATTGATTCCCCTGAGGCATCACAGCAGCTATACTTTACACAGGGAGGATCACAGTGGCAGCACTAGATGGCGATCTGGAGCAAGACACACAAGGCTGAGAAGTGTTGCTGATTGTCAAACATACAAGAAGTGTACAGATGTGTTATGTCATGTCTCTATATTCATTAAGATATCACTATTTGGTAATTTTGTAGATTTGTTTTGATAGAAATATACTGGATTAATTTTCTTATTTTCTGGTGTCGTCTTTGGGAAGTCTCTCGCCAACAAAACCACTGATTCGTAAATATCTCAAATCTGCTGATTCAAGTTGTCCCTAAGGTCCCGGAAGCTGAAATACCTTGATTTAAGAGTGTGCATTAGCAGTGAGACCAGTGCAGTTTATAAACCTGGTGTCATATATATTTATTGGGCATGACGTTTAAGATTTCAGTCCTGCCCTTCAATTGGTGCCTTAAAATGATTTCATTCCACATCTTCAGGGGGCGAGCTTACCGAGGCTTATCGGGGTCTGAAATATGACTATAGTTAATGAGTGGTCTCTAACGTGTTGAATAGTAATTCAATCCCTATGGAGTTATTTTCACCTTGAGCTACACTAGGTTTATATGAGCAGCTCTATAATAATCCCGTAAACATGTAAGGGCTAATTGAGCTCTCAATATTGGTAGTTGCAGAGTTCCACATATTACTTTTGTTTTCTAAATAAATCTAGAAATAAAATGTTACCAGTTCAAAAAATACTGTTCTGATTTTCGAATATAGGTACGGTTTGAATCATTTGAGAATCCTTGGGTGGGTAATCTCTACATAGACTGATATTTTCTTTCAATAGTTTGAATAAGAAGTAAAGCCAAAATACAGACTGAAGTAAACCAATGTAATGAAAAAGAGAGAGAAGTGCTTATTAGTTTCTGTGTTCTCGTCTAAAGTGGCGCTCTGTGCTGGTGTAGTCGGAGTATGTGCAATTTGTCACGGAGACGTTTGCCACTCGCAGTAATGCAGCATTTTGACGACTCTCAGCTCTTACTTTGATTAAATCAGTTTTACTTTTTAACATGCTGCTGGGGTGTGGATGCTGGGGGTGGAGGTAGGGGGGGGGGGGGGATCAACCTGAGTCCCCGGATCAACGATGTTCATGTCTTTGTACTTAAAGCAAGTTGAAGCAGTGCTTGATTCGAAGAAGAGTGATAATTAATATCTGCATTTTCTTTTATTGTGAGTTTGTTGTGGTTAGGAGGGTAACGGACATCTACCAATCAGAGAGCCAGTTGTTCAATCCCCATCATCAGCTGTCAACATGTTTAAGGGTCCTTGGTCCTTTACCCTAAATTGCTGACATAGGCATTTATAAAGTATTGAAGTGTATGCAATTCGGTTTGGATAGAAGTGTCAGCTGAAATTACATTTAATAATAAAGAAGTTGGTAAATATAGCTCAGTTTTAGTTGAAATAATACTATTTTATAAACAATGTATAGAGCTACTAGTCATACAGTACTTTAAGAGAGATTTTTTTTTGATTTTGCAATGTTTAAGGTAGGCTACTTAATGCTCTGATTAGGAGCTGTTAAAGAGTAAAATAGAGGCGACATTTTCTTTACAACATGAGAAAACTCTTTTGGAGGAAAATAAGTGTTCAGCCATTCTTTGGGAGGAAAACAAATCTAAAATGAATTAATTATGGTTAGGGCAGCCTTCAGTAGTCTAGCTAATTGCAGCTGCAGCAGTAATGCGGCTTTCACACCAGCGCTTTTCCCTTTCTAGCTCCGAGCTAGAGCTTTTCTGGTTCAGCTCCGGTTTCCCTTTTCTGCTCCCGCTCTGTTCACACCGCCCAGCACCCGACTGGTGCTGCCGCTGCTGCGTCATGACGTCACCGTTTACATCGCTGATTTGCTCCCCAACGGCATTACGGCGCTCACAACAACAACAACAACAACTGCGTCGGGTCGATGATCGTGTTGCTTTTAATCACACGAAGCCAGAATAAATTGAATAACGACTTCTCCAACCTTATACTTTGCTCCAGAGTGCCGTGGTTCATTGTTTATGTGTTTCTGCAGCATTTACCGACCACTGCAGTGTTGGCTGCTCTTCCACGGGAGTTTATTCTCCTCCGTTAGCTCCCGGTTAGCTCACACTGCTGCGGCCGCTCTAAAGTATTCACTGTCCGACTCACACAAGCAGCTGATACATATCCCCAGTTCCCCTTAGCCTAAGTGAATGTGTGTCAGTCTGAATTGACGCTGTTTGGTATCACAACGCTGTTATGAAAGTTTCTCTGGTATAAAATGGGTGATGTTAGCATAGCAACCGAAGCTAAACTGACTACTTGCTATTGCTATCCTATTGTGGCATAAACCGTTTTCTACAGGCACATTTTACCGGCGTATTTTTATTATGATTCTACTTGTGATAGTCGGACACGACAACCTGTGCAGCCCATGTATTGATTCCATCCGATAGCTGCTATAATACAAAACAAAACGTCTGCCTCTCTCCACAATGATCAATAACAGTGAACGGATGGTCAAAGTAAGGTACAAATAAACAGAATCACAAGAAGCCTGGTTAGTGTTGCCTGACTTTATAAAGTGTGTTTATAAGCACTACTGCTTGTAGGCAGGCATGACAGTCGACCCATGTTCAGGGGAGGTGGGTTTAGTTTCCTGCACGCCTCGACGTAAGAGAGACGTAAGCGACGCCACCTCTTAGCTCCGAAGCTCTTGCCTCTAGTCTAGACCGACAATTTTTTGGAGCTGGAAGTGAACCGGATTCCGGAGCTAAGAGCCGGCGCCGCTGCGGTGTGAACAGGAAAAACCGGCGCTTTTCAGGCTCCAGCTCCGAGCCGGAGCTGAAAAAGCGCTGGTGTGAAAGGGGAATAAGAGTCATTCATTGATAATTTATTCTCAAGCTCATAAAAAAACAACACTTTAAAAGCTCATAAAAAAACAACACTTTAAATGCTCTGCAGGCCACAACTTAATAACTGTTCCCTCCACACTCCTGCACTTGTGATTTAGCCGTCTAATGGTAAACATAAGTCTAATCACATCTTAAAGAATAACCCGGCTGTTGAGGGCAGAGTATTGAAGTGTGTCACCAGCAGAAAAAGGTTCCTCAAGAGCAGCTGCCCTCCCGTGCATACAAACCAAACAAACACAAAGCACTTAATACCTGAAGTGGGACAGAATACAGCTGGAC